AATATGTTTGGTGTTAAGCAAATTTTCATTACAATGTTAAAACAAGTTTTATAATTTAAAATTTTATATGATACATTTTTATGTTTACTATAAAATAAAATGGGTTCTGAAGGTTTGAATGAAATTATAGATTTACTCTCGAGTTCTACTGGTGAGTAGGTTTCCGTATGAATAAACTGGGGGTGGGGGAGGCTTAATAAGGGGGGAGGGGCATTTAATTTTACGGTATATCATCAATAGTTCAGAAAATTGGAATTAGAATAACTTTCAGATTATATTGTATTCTAATGTTTAATCTAATTACAATAAACCAGTGGCCTACTCTTATAATTTTAACAAATTAATAAATTGCGTAATAATAATCAAATTTTATGATTATTTTAGTTTGTATCTTGATCAAATACATACTCTCGCTTTAATTATATATATTTTGTGTGCATACTCAATTTTGTTAATGCATCACAATTTAAGGGCTGATGATAATTTTGACATTTGTAACGATCATGTTTCTTCTGTTTCCCAGCACTATATACGTGCCCTGTCAAGCCGAAATAAAATTTGCAATTGTGCGCTCAGGACCCGTTTTTCCAATCATGTTAATTTCTGCATTATTTTCTGTTGGACTTGCATAGAAATTCAGGAGTGATTATTGTTGTCAAATAAATTGTGCAGATTAAAATGACATGATGATAATAGGAGCGATTATTCAGGCAGAAATAGTTCCGAACAATTCAACTATCACACATGATGGCCTTACAATGATAGAATAATAAATAAGCAGTTTGATGACATTATAGCTTTATGGAAATTTTGTATATCGTATTTTATTGCCGTAGAATTGACTTCTATTACTCAGATTATAATGGGGGTTTCATAAAACTACACAAAGCAGCTTGTTTTATTGCTTTTCCTCGGTATTTAAAAAATAGGATTTTGCATTATTTTAGAATATATATTTAACTAAATAGGAAATTATGTATTTGGTTTGTTGACCGTTTTGCCATATTGTTTGATTTATTTTACTGATCAGGCATAATATTCTCAATGCATGACATTATTTTGTGGGGTAAATTTAGCTCTCCAATACAGTTAATATCAAAATGCTAAAATTATGTACATTAAAGGAATTGAGTTTTGTTAGACTGCAAGGTTGTGCATAATTATCGACTTGTCATTTTACTGCCGCAAGGTGAAATCATGCCAAGCATACATGACTCTCAGCCTGCAGATAGCTACCTGAGTCCTTATTGGTCATTGTTAGTTTGAGTCCTTATTTATTATTTCCTTTGTGCTTGGTTGGTTTGATTCCTTATTTATTATTTCCTTTGTGCTTGGTTGGTTTGATTCCTTATTTATTATTTCCTTTGTGCTTGGTTGGTTTGATTCCTTATTTGTTATTTCCTTTCTGTTTGGTAAGTTTGAGTCCTTTTTTGTGATTTCCTATGTATTTTATAAGTTTGAGTCCTTATACATATGTCTTTAATAAGTTTGAGACCTTATTTGTTATTTCCTCTGACTGGTTAGTTTGTCTCCTAATTGGTTATTTCCTCTGACTTAGATTAGTTTGAGTCCTTATTGGTTATTTCCTTTATCTTTCATTAGTTTGAGTCCTTATTGGTTATTTCCCTTATCTTTCATTAGTTTGAGTCCTCATTAATGTTTCCTATGTTTTTGGTATGTTTGAGTCTGTATTGGTTATTTCCTTTGTTTCTCATTAGTTTGAGTTCTAATTGGTTATATCCCCCATTTACATCATATCATACCAGTAACTGCTGGTCATACAATATATCTTTAAATCAAAGACCATTATTCTGTTCATTTGTTGATTTATTCTGGACAAGGAACTGTAGGTTGGGAACCAATTGATTACCTGAGTAGTATAGAATATTACAATTATATCATAATTCTCTGTTAGAACATTCAATGCTGTCATAAAATGAGTCAAAACTTTATCAAATATAGAATTTCTAAAATATATTGTGTGCAGGTTTGCGCAGAACATATATTTAATTTTAGTAACAGATTTGCTCATACGTATCCATGGAGATTTTGTAAATGTAATAATACCACTGCATTTATTTTGTATAAGCAATATATAATAGAAAAGTAGACATATGACATTTTGATTCTAATCAAATATTGTGTTAGAATAATTTGTTCTCCTTGTTACAATATTTTGTAATGCCATTTTATTATATTTAAATGAAGATGAGATTATGACAACATTTAGTTAGCACGCAGATTTGTGCGGCATTTTACTCATTCAGACAGGGGCGCAGTTCTTATGTTCTATTCAGATATAGCAGGGTTGTCAACAAATTTTTTCTAGGACAGTTTGTTTTGTATTTGAGGCAGTCATATTTGACTGAAACGTCTGGTTGAATCAAAATAAATTGGATAACAAATAAAATTGAAATGATTGGTATACTTAGAATAAATTCAAGACAATATGTGCCGAGAATATACCCATTTAAGTATTGGTACGAATTGCATAATGTTCGAATGATTTTGAGAACAAACCGTTCTGCAGTGATCTCCCCTTACAAGCCGTAGTGTAACCTGTTTGTTGTACTGTGAGAACCACCTCTCTGATAGTGGGCGTGGTTTAGGCTTTGTAACTTGTAATTTAATGATTCGACAAGTCATATTGATCAAAGTTGTCCTGGTTCCCTTCTACCCCGTCAACGAAGACTAAATGCTAGCATATGGAGTATAATATCAAATTTGATATGACAATTTATGGCGGAGCCCAACTTCAACAGAGGCGAAGCAAATGAAGTAAGTGACACTGCCTCAGTTGTCACCTCTCAACGGTTAAGTTTTAGAAGGATCGACAATAGATTGGCTAATTGGCACGTTATTTATTATGTAGATAAAATTAGATAATGATAAAAAGAATATGATTTTCAAACATGGCACTATCACTTCAGTTAAACGTTTTTTCTAATCCCTTAAAGCTCTGTGACATGTTGTACATCATAAAAGCTATTTTTATTAGAAAATTTAAAACACAGAAAAACAGTGTGATTTTGTTAAAACAAAAGAAATACACAAAATCAAGTCTAAAATTTTCCCCATTGCTGTATGGACAAAAGCATATCTACTAGACGCTGCTTGCAAGCGGCGTCTAACTAAATATGAAAGCCTGTTTTTCAAAAGTTTTTGTTGTCCTGTTATAGTTTTCCAAAATGTTAATTATTGACCAAATTGCTTAAATCGTCATTTGCTTAGTACAGTTATGGCAATTTAGTATTTTGTATAAAAGTCAAAATACTACTTTGTTTACATTTTGATACTTTATGACAAAAATAATATCTCATTTAGCTCTACTGTCTTAAGTTGATAAGCATCTAAGGTGCTGTAAATCTGTTATTTTGTTATTTAAACATTATAAAACTCATGTTTTCCCTGTATAAGAGAAGAGGAAAAAAATAATGAGCCTTTGATAAACTTATAATTTTACTCAAATATTGGCAATCAACTATGTTGTCAAGGTACGGGTCAAAATCCAATCAATAAAAAGTATAGAACAATCTATAATAAGCCAAATGAAAATATTAAGGATTACTTTTTAAGAGCTAATTTGAATAATACAAGAGGCTGTATTTAATGAAATAGTTGTTTTCATGACATGCCCAGTATGGCAATGTTGATTGAGTAGTGGGTGTTCGGGTTCAGAATGAAAATGTTAATATTTGTCTCATATGGTAAGGGTGGGTGTTAAACGTTTCTCACATTGTTAATTTTATTGCATTTTAGAGCCATTGGAGTTCAAATTGATCGTAACTCCACGAACATTGGTGATAGTCTGTATCATTATAATGAATGTAGATGAAACATTTAAGATTTAGCTTTCTTTCTTGGATAATAAGTAATTCAATAAAGCACAAGAGCCTTTTTATACTTAAAATTTTTATGTTTTCTTCTCATACAGTTTATAGTTATGTTGGTTTTTTTTCTAAACATTCTTTTAAAATCAGTACCAACTTTCGATTAAAAAAGTAAAAGGGGAAAAAAATTTGTAACAGATTTTTGAGAAAAAAAAAATATTGAGAAATTATAAATCAATTTGATAGTTTTAATTAACGAGGTTTTTCCCAATGAATAATTAATGTAAAGAAGAAATATTTGCAGATCAGCTGGATGATTTATTTTCTAAGTGCCTCCTAATTTACATTCTCCCATAAATGACTCATTGACGTGACTCGAAAATTATTCTTCATTATTACTAATATTTGTTTTCATCTTTTTTTCATCGTCATGGTAACCCTGTGTTTGTTAATTTCGCCATGGAAATATGAACATCATTTTGAAGTATGGAATTTGATGAATCGTGACAGGGTGAAATAGTGAAATAAATTTTGGGAGAGAAAAAAAAAGTTATAAAATTTCCAATAGACTGTCCAGTTACTCTTGTGTAGTCTTTGTCATTTTTTTCCGAGATCTGATAATAAAACTGTGATTATGATATATTTAAGATGATCTGGATTGAAGTCACATTATGCTCATTTTTTGGCTGTCAAGTTGAATAAGATATATCTTTTAAAAGGTTTGCTATAATAATGTTGATTGACCAATGATTTATAATAAAAAATGTTTATTATACAGTATTAAAAAAGGAACTAAATTACTAAAAGACTGCCCTACTCTTTTAAAGTATTGAACCTTACTGATACATTCTGAATGATAATTATAGAAAAATTCTGTTGATCACTTGAATTATGGACTATTTTTTCATTTAGAAAAATATAAAATTGAACACAATTATGGCCAAATTTCAATTATTTTTATTTTTAGCTGACAGTATTGAGTCTGATCTGACAGCATGAATATACAATACAAGCAAATCAAGCTCTATGAAGATGGTGTAGTCCATAATGTTATCATCACCAGTGCTCATATTAATTAACATGTATAATAAAAAAATGAAACTTTTTATTATAAATTACATTTATATATATCAATACATGTGATTATCAGTATAATTATTTTACTTTCAGGATTACAAGAAGAGGACGGAAATTGCTAAAAAGGAGTACTTGAAGCAGCTAGCTGCATATAGAGCCAGTCTTGTATCTCAGGTAAGCTAATTACAGTCTGGTAGTCAATCAGCGTTATTTTCTCATCATAAGACAGGTAGTCAATCAGGGCAATATTCTTATCATAAGTCAGGTAGTCAATCAGGGCAATATCCTCATCATAAGTCAGGTAGTCAGTCAGGGCAATATTCTCATCATAGGTCAGGTAGTCAATCAGGGTAATATTCTCATCATAGGTCAGGTAGTCAGTCAGGTGTAATATTCTCATCATAAGTCATGTAGTCAGTCAAGCAATTTCCTCATCATAGGTCAGGTAGTCAATCAGAGTAATGTTCTCATCATAAGTCAGGTAGTCAGTCAGGTGAATATTCTCATCATAAGTCAGGTAGTCAGTCAGGGCAATATTCTCATCATAAGTCAGGTAGTCAATCAGGGCAATATCCTCATCATAAGTCAGGTAGTCAATCAGGGCAATATCCTCATCATAAGTCAGGTAGTCAATCAGGACAATATTCTCATCATAAGTCATGTAGTCAGTCAGGTGTAATATTCTCATCATAAGTCAGGTAGTCAATCAGGACAATATTCTCATCATACGTCAGGTAGTCAGTCAGGTGCAATATCCTCATCATAGGTCAGGTAGTCAGTCAGGTGCAATATCCTCATCATAGGTCAGGTAGTCAGTCAGGGTGATATTCTCATCATAAGTCAGGTAGTCAATCATGGCAATAAACACATCATTTAATACTTTCTTGTATTCTGCTCATTTTACCTCTAATAATGTCATATGAATTTTTCCATTTTGATCATAATAAAAATTGATTGATATAAAGTTTCTATGGAAACTTTTTATAATATGAAATTCACGGGGGAGGAAGTGTTACACGAAGGATGGAGTTCTTATGATAACTTGTTTGGAGTTCTTATGATAACTGTCACGGAATTCCTGGAAAACGTTACGGATTTCTGTGGAAAACTTTTCTATATACTTCGAGAACTCGCGTAAAAAATGGTTATTTTTAACTTTAAATGGGGAGTTAGAGGTGCTAAATTAAACGTTGATAATTAAGCTTGCCCTACATATTTTAGTCCATATTTCGTCGCCGTTTAAAAAAATCTAGTAGTTTTGAGAAAAATTTCCAAATTACTTGCTAATTCGTACATATTGACTTTTTCATTTGTGATCTTCTTCGTTGCTATACATAATCACCTAATTATAGTAGAGAGTTGCAAACATAAAGCCCGGGCTAATAAATGTATACCCGATTTTTCAAATGTTACGGAGTTCTTGTGATAACTCAAAATATGTCCTGGAGTTCTTATGATAACTTTTGTTACTGCCAGTGTGTTTCTTGTGCATAATTACGGCACGTTTAAGCGTATTTTATTAGTCAATAAGTGTGTAAATCATTATGAAGCATAGTACGCTTATCATTTGCACAAAAATTTGATTATATAACGTTGGTTTTGATCGTGTTTTAGTTCCTAATTAAATTTGTGCGAAATCATATTGACATTATAAAACCCAACGAATGCACTAAATGTTTCTGTGTATACTAGCTGTTCGTCAACAAAAGTTTTATGTCATAAGTTTCCGCAAATGCAACATTGAGGCCATGTGGCAAAATTAAAACACGATCAATGAATATATCTGGAGAAGACATGAAACTGCTTTGGTGTACAGTCTACATAGGATAAACAGGTGCTAAGTTATATCTTCAGGAACGACAACCTCCGTGGTCGAGGGGTTTGAGTCGATGACTTCTAATCCAGTTACCTCTCTGGCGTGGGTTCGATCCCCGGGAGATGCTTTGGTAGTTTAGCACGGAGGAAGGTAGTCTAGTACTGGTGTAACTCTCCAGGAACGATGGAAACTACCCGCCCATATGACTGAAATACTGTTGGGAAAAGGCGTAAAATGAAAAAAACAAACAAACAAACAAAATTCTTCAGGAAAACCTGAATCAGCGGTCACCTGTATTCAGCAGTAACATGGCTTAAACCGCCAAGGAAAAAATATTTAAAACTTACACTTTTTTTCTCAGATAACTTGTTTTAAGCAACCGCCTTTCTAAAGCAGACAATAAGTAGTTGGGCTTCCCTCAAGAAGCGGCTAAGTAAATTGTATCATTATATACCATGTAACGTATATAACCGGGATATCCTTCACACCCATGCACCCGAAATGTATGATCTTTTTATGAATAAAAAATCAACCGATTACTACCGATCTCTTCGACAGATTTGCACGTGCCCTACGTGTTCGAGCGAAAGAAGTTCGACAATATATTTTTGTAATCAATTACAGCAAAAGTTGTTGCAAAATTTCCACTAGGACTCCAACTTTGATAAGAAAAATGTATGCAGTAATTTTCCGAAAAATGGAAACTGCTATACGTCACGTGATGCTACATTGGATTTAATAGAGAAAGGAACAAGGTCGATAAACGGCATGAACCTTACGGTGACTCACATATCTTATTAAAGACTTACTTTCTATCGTCATATCATTGTCATAGAACTTTATACGTTTCTATGACAAAAACTGATACCTTTTAGAAATTGAAATACCCGTTGAATACATAAAGACGACACCCACCTCATTAAATTTAGATAAGGGTAGTGCATACTACCTACTATTTTGCTGATAACCATTTACATGCATACCGATAGCATAGTTACTTAATGTTCTCTAAAACTGCCAGGAATAATGCATATATGACGAAATCATGCTTGAGTATTAAATTCAAAGCGTATTTTTATCCTGTAAGTAAATGCTCTACATCAAGTATGTTTACAGTCATTCCAATAAAATAAAAAAAACACACACACACACACAAAGACCAAAACAAACACAAAAAAACCCACAAGAAACGGAGGTAAGAAAAATATCTCTTGAACTGAAAAACACGATCAAAACCAACGTTATATAACCAAATTATTTTGCAAATGATAAGCGTACTATGCTTCATAATGATTTACACACTTATTGACTAATAAAAATACGCTTAAACGTGCCGTGATTAAGCACAAAACACACTGGCAGAAACAAAAGTTATCATAAGAACTCCAGGACATATTTTGAGTTATCGCAAGAACTCCGTAACATTTGAAAAGTCGGGTATAAATTTATTAGCCCGGGCTTTATGTTTGCATCTCTCCATAATTATTAGGTAATTAAGTATAGCAACGAAGAAGATCACAAATGAAAAGGTCAATATGTACGAATTAGCAAGTAATTTGGTAATTTTTCTCAAAACTACCAGATTTTTTTTAAAAAGGCGACAAAATATGGACTTAACGATTTTTTCTGAAACAAAATACAATATGTAGGGCAAGCTTAATTATCAAAGTTTCATTTAGCACCTCAAACTCCCCATTTAAAGTTAAAAATAACCATTTTTTACGCGAGTTCTCCAAGTATATAGAAAAGTTTTCCACAGAAATCCGTAACGTTTTCCAGGAACTCCGTGACAGTTATCATAAGAACTCCAAACAAGTTATCATAAGAACTCCATCTTTCGTGTAACACTTCCTCCCCCGTGAAATTGGGTTCAGGAAAAAATGATATTGAAAAAGATGAATTTTAGGACTTAAATAATAGTAAAGGTAGCCAATTTAAGAAGATGAACTATGTAGCTAGTTGAAAGCTGGTCTGTTAAAACTGATTTTTTTGCTCTATTCAGATATTACTTTTTTCTGTTTTTGACCTATTATACAAATAAGCACTATGGTTTCTATGTGTGGTTTGTATTTAGAGGTGGTCTTCAAAACAGCTAAGCCAAAATCATCTTTCTTGTTTTGCGCTTAATTGTGTTGGTGCACCGTAAAACCAAATGAAACAAAACAAAACAAAAATGAGCTTTTGAGAAAAAGAAGATAAATAAATTGAACGTTGACACTGAACTGTTGCCAGTTAAAAATTGTATGGACCAACATTCCATTGTATTTAGGACATTATATAAAGACATTTATTATATGAACTTTTCATTCTCAAATCTGGCCAAGTCCATTAAGCTAATTCAGTAAGGGTTTTTGAAGCCAATTTATTTACATATTCTATGTTTAATTATAGTATTAATGACAAAACACAATTAATTTGAATGAAATATTTAAATTTTGAAAAAACTCATTTGTCAATATTAAGAATTCATTAATGATAGATGGTAAAGTATTATTTGATAGAATACAAGATACAGTACATTCCTGGAATAATGTCGTGAAAGAAAGAAAGATTTCTCTGTATTTCATTCTTTTATATTATATTTTTTTTTTTGGGGACAAAACTTGAGAAGAATGTTTTGCCAGATAACACTTAACTTTCAAAAATCGATTTTAATGCAAGGAAATATGCATTAATTTCATAATAACCTTTTAGAAGTAATCTATTCCTTAAAAGGTATCAGAGAGTTTTTGATTCCTATCTCAAGAGGGGGTAGTAATTGGTTGCCACGCTTGAACAAGCGAAATGCAAACTGATCTGAAAGCAGTTGTTGCGTACGACAGGTGACAATCGTAGCTAGGTAGTCTGGAGTAGTCTTGATATTGACGGCTTTGTCATTGATGATGGCTAATTATATGTTAGAAGAAAATAAAGTAACATAAAAGACGGGACAGAGTTATCGGAGAGTAAATGCGAGTCAATGTATGTCAACATCATGATAATTTTAGACGATATCATCATCATCATATATTGTTGAGGATGAGAACATTATATACACCAATAACTTTTTGATTTATCAGTAACAGAATAATGTCCCGTGTATTACTGCGTGGTACTAAAAGTAAGCTAATTGATGGTTGATAATGCCTTAGTATTGATCTTAAAGATAGTTTGACCAGGTTTTCAAGTAGACACCTAACATTTTATCAGTTTGAGTGGAAGGTACTAATTGTTCATATATGACTGATTTAAAAAGGAAAATTGAATACTTAATATATACAATAAGCCTTAATGTCTGTCTGTCTGTACAGGTTTCTGTGTGATTTTAGTTGAGAAAAAATTCAGGGATAGATACAGATATAGAACTTAAGATATCGCATCGCCTTAAGACATCTTTCTGAACTTACATCATTCATTGTTATAAAAGACGCACATTTTAAGGTAATTTCTACAACACACTCTAGATCAAAGCCCTCAAAAGATATTATTTGAATAACAAAAGTAGACTAATTGATTGAAATGTTCTTTTACTTCCTTGTATCTATATGTTATGTTTCTCTTTGAAATAAAATATCTGTTTGATGTTAATGGGGGTAAATATTCTGTCTCAGATGTTAGATTCTACAGCTCGAGGTCCGTTGGATTTTCTTGTAATCTTAATACACAGAATTTTATAGTGTAAATCATCATAAACTGACCAGATAAAAAAATTTAAAAGGCAAGAATGTAAGCTTATTTAAATGATGTTTAAGAGAACAGTCTAATTTGACTATAATAAAAGTGTAAAATGATTTGCTGAACTAGTAAAAGCACTGGTTATTGTAGATGTAGTAACATTTTTTTGTCATGGAAAAAGTTATAAAATTACTTAGTTCTTTTTCTTTGTTTTAAGCTAAGTATAATGCGAGTGCAATAACTTCAGTACAATCTGACATGACTGTAGTATGGTGTGTCTATTTAATTTTAGTAGTACAATATTGAAATTTATAGTCTTAACAAAAATAAGATAGGAAAATCCAACAAACAATTTAGTTGTTTCGCTTGAAAGATGTTTACAAATTGTTGTCAGCCCTTTGTTAAGCATTAGTTATTTTCAGACAAAGATGTGAAACAAACACAAGAATCATTCAAATTTAAGCAACTATTACATTTTTTTGCTTTAAAATGTGATTCAGTTACAATATATGAGCCGCGTCATGACAAAATCAACATAGTGCGTTTGCAACCAGCATGGATTCATACCAGCCTGCGCATCCGCGTAGTCTGATCAGGATCCATGCTGTTCGCTTACCAACTCTATTACAAGTAGAGAAACTGATAGCGAACAGCATGGATCCTGATCAGACTGCGCAGATGCGCAGGCTGGTCTGGATCCATGCTGGTCGCAAACCCATTATGTTGGTTTTGTCGTGACGCGGCTCAATTATGTGAGAGTTATTACACAAAGAGCAAGATAAAGTCCTGACTTGAGTAAATTGTAAATAACATGGGAGTAGAAAAAGCATCTGTTAACTCATTGTGTAATCATACATCTGCCAGTTGTTCTGATATTTAAACTGATTTTAACGAACAAATATCGTATTCTATAAATCTTTGCATGAATAAAGTCCTTGTACCTTGAAAAGTTTGATATGCACATGCTATTTTATTATAAATCTATTACCCAAATGGAAAATTACCATTATGATAAGTTAGAGAAAACAGGTCTAACATAGATACATAGTCAAATTTGATAATTTCTGTAAATAAAGTTAGATGATTAGAAATAAATTATAGATTAATGTCCTGCATTAAAATAAAAAGTGGAGGTAATGCATAAGGATAGTCATACCTTAATATATGTATCATAGTTGTAACAAACACAAAAAAAAAGATAATCAAGGGCAATAACTCTTACTGAGAAATTGTTTGATTTAGTTACCTTTTTATACACAAAGGGTTATGGTCACTAGTCTTGTTGTCTGGAGTGCAGCAAATAAAGAATAGTGGAGATATATAGCTTTGAATGAATAATTTTCTGTGATAGATTGACCTGTATATTCACTGGTTCCCGTTATACCTGACTAGTTTTCTTCGATTAATTATTTTGTACATGTAAAATACAAGTAACCACAGAATCATTATACAGTTTGAAGCAACTTTGTATGAAATACCTTTAATTCTTTCCTAACTTCAGGGGCTACAACTTGCAACCCATGATCTGATTTTGCCTATTAATGTTAAGGTGTGGGTAAAAAGTGAACATTTCCTTTAAGCGTTCATATTAAGTCATAAAAAAATGTTATTTTACAACTATGGATGTTCATCCTTTATTATATATATATATATATATATATATCTTACAAGTAAAAAGGAAAAGACGTCAATACATTGGAGTAGGTTTAATCAACTGTTTTCGGTATATGTAATATATTTATAATAACAAGAAAAGAGGAGAATAACATTTTAGATTTAAATGAGAGAATAAAGACGATGATATTCACTCAATATACTATAGGGAATAAGCACTGACAATGTAACGATAAATCTCAGTTTATGCAAGTCACCCTTGCATCATAATATTTTCACTCTAGTTTCTGTAAATTATTTACAAGTGAATTTAGTCAGTACTAGGTGTGTGATGGAAATTTTAGGACCATTTAAAGACAGAATATTTAAGGGCCTACATTTTTGAGCAAGTTCATCTGTTGATATTATTTTTTGTAATCGCAGCATGTACAATAATTACATTTAAGCGTGCCGGTAGATTTGATCCGAGTAAAAACATATCAGGTTAAGAATGGTGATGCCAACCATGATGACATTATCGGCACAATGTTACTTTATCAATGACGGAGCATCACATATTGAGTATCATTAGGGTATATGATACAATGCTAATATCATTATGTGAGGTAATGATATTGAGTTAAAAGTGTGGCCTCCAGGTTTATGTTGCAAAAGTCATTTTAAATGTAGGGTGAACTTCGGTTTTAAACACAAGTCTAGGTTATTGGTTCTTAAAGAATGTATTTTATATTTCAAAATGATGAGGGGAAAATGATGCAGAGAAATCCAATTTTTTTTTTTAATTTCTGTAAAAAGAGAAGTTTGAAGAAAAGGTAGTTGAGTTCGATAGTTAGTCTGTTGAGTAAAAATCTTTAATCCGTTAATAATTCAATATGTTATTTTATTTCAAGCTTGAAGGCAAAAAAACCCTTCCTTACTTTGAATGAAACATATTATTCAGTTATTAAAGAGATAAAAATTTTCTTTATTTTATAATCAATGACCAACCTCTTTTGTCAACAGTTATCTTTTATTTTCTTAATTTTATTTAGAGCCATTGAAATTTGAAATTATTCAAGATAAACATTTGTCTGTGTTGTCATAATTATGTGTATTTATGTACTTTAATAACTGAGCTGTGAATGATTAAATATTATTTCCTTGTACATGCAATAAACTGTTTAAGCTGAAGTTAATGGCAAATTTGAATTGTTTGTGACAGTGAACATCATTTAACTATTTGGTACACTCCTGGTATTGTTTAGTGTCCAGATATGCTCTGACCTTAAAATGGTCAATTTACTGAATTTTGCTTAAATTGCTATAACTCTTTTCATTACTTGACAAAATTGATACATACTGGGACACATTATAAAAATTAAGTCCTGAAGCACATACTAATGTGTAGAGCTAATAATGACAGGCCTATGTCAGCCTGTGGAACAAATTCATTATACAGAGTCATTGGGGGAAAGAGTTGTGTTAAGTGATACTTCAATAGTCTTCCTTTTTACATGTATAATTATGTTTTATTCTCAATTTCAGACAAGAATGGAGGAATCCCCTTCTCCTCCACACAGATCCCCCACAGGCACTTCTCCACAGCACATGATGGGCTACATGAATAGTATCAGCCCACAACACATGGGTTCCCCCGCACACATGGGCTCCCCTGCTCACATGGCTTCTCCTGCACACATGGGCTCTCCGGCACATATGGGTAGCCCAGCACAAGTGGTTCCTGGGTGTCAAACTCATATCTCTAGTCCGTATCATATGACAAGTCCGCAACACGTGTCTAGTCCTCAAAACATGATGGGCCAGCACGTGACGAGCCCACAACACAACAATCTATACAGCCCACAGTCTCCACCACAACAATATAATGTTGGTAGCTATAACAACAATCAGTCCATGGACATGATGGATAATGGTGGAATGAGGTTTGACTCCCAACGGTTACCACCCACTGGGGTAAGTTTAACATTGTCACCTACTCGCTGAATTAATCATTTATGACATCTTGATTGGGATATAACCTTGAATGCTAAATTTGTTCATTGTCTGTCCTGACAGGTATTTAATATTATAACACCAGCATATGGTTATCATCATTTAAGATCAGCAATAATTAAATGTAAAAGTGTTCAAATATGGCTCTAGTATTTTATAAAAAAATCTTCATTTTTAATTATCATTTTATTACCCTTGTGTAGAGTATTTCAAATAGTGAAGAAGAAATGAATGCATTAACAAATCTGCTGAAAAAGATTGATAATTTCGTGAAATTGTATACAAACACTCTTATGCCATTTGAAACTACTGTCATATAATATTTTTTGCATTATTGATTATGACTGTCATTTCTGGTGAAAAAAGCACATGTTATTGCAGGTTTTATTTAGTTAATATTAATTAAATATGACTATCAAATCTATCTGATCAGGTGTCAAAATTAAGTAGATTGTATCAAAGTAATCATAGGAAATTGAATAATAACAAAATATGTTTATTTATTATGTTAGATGACATGTTAATATTGTCTTGTTTTTTGTTGGGTGGATTTTTTTTGGTCGTTGAGATATTTTTTACTTTTAAAAGGCGTTCATCATTCACTGCTGGAAGTTTATAGTTATTAAGAGAATGTTTTATTTTGTTCACTCTGTGAAATTTCAAGTATTCATCCTATAGCAAACCTGTGAAAAGCATGTTCTTAACTTTCCTTATCTGACAATAATTTTACACTGTATCCTATTTTACAATTTATTTTTGTAACTTTAAATCAAGCTTGGCGATATGTTAACAAAAGTGTAACTTTTACGCTGCCTTAATTAAAAAAAGTATTGGTAGTAAGAAAATTTATCACCTTGTTCTAAGTGTTTTCTGTTTTAATGTGATTTAAAACAAGTTTTGTTAACAAAATATTTTAAATGTTGGTATTGAAGTTGTTTCTTTACAAATATACAATATTTTTCTTTATTTGTTTTGATATAGGAAACCATAGCATCTTTTTGCTACATTATTTTTTAGGCTTTCATTTAAAATAAAGTATCAATAAACCATTATTATAATAAAGGTGAAGTGAGTTAATATGAATTTATGGGTCTCGCACTTGACTTGCTGTATATATAACTGGAATGTTTATGATGATTATTTCAGGGTAATGCAGGGAGGGTATTATCAGGTGGTATGTGTATCAGAAATGGTTGTGTAAATAGGGCAATAGACAACATAGGCTGGGACAGTGAGTACTGTAGCAACGAATGTGTCGTCTCTCATTGCAGGTATGCTATTTTATATCTTGTTTCCTACACTTTATTTTCTTCAGAGTATTTCAATGGTTGAGTTTTACCACGTGCCCCTTCAACAGTGTTTTAGTTGGTTTGTACAGAATTTATTTTTAGCTCGATTGTGTATGAAGCTTAAAGCTTATAGACATACTCTCAAATCCGTACCTGGAACTAACAAGAATTGAGCAGAGTGTAAAGTTCCTTGCTCTAGGAACCAATGGCTGGCCCTAAATGGGGATTGAACCCACACAGAATGCATTCCTTAGACTACTAATGCGGCATGTTAACCACTCGGACATGTTTTGTTAAAAATTATTCTAATAAAAAAAGGCAGGGCTTGTGAAACAATAATGTTTGGTTTCATTCAAGTTTAACATGTAAAGCTGCATGATATTTTGTCAAACAAAAGTCTATTGTGCTACCTTTACTTATACGCAGGTTTAATATTGTTATGATTGAAATTTTCCAATAAGAATTACTATGACTTGTTTTCAGAGATGTTTTCACAGCCTGGGTAGCTAACCGTCAAGTCCCGAATAATGCGTTCACAGTGAAATGATTACTGCATCGCTCAATTGGGAGGAGACATTCCAAAATGGATTGAACCAAAACAAGCAACGCTGGACAACATTTTGTTGACTGAATTACAGTGAACATACTTCACTAACAAACTGGGAACATACTTGTATATGTATGGATGTTTGAGAAACAGGGAACACACCTTTGTTTGTTAATCTGTAATATATGAACATGTATGAAGTGTATTACATACAAAAATAACAGAACTACATTGCTGGAAACTAAGACTAGTTCATAATGATGTGTTGACTTATCTGAAGATATCATATTATACACAAGATCTTGTATCAGTGTACATATATGAATACTAAGTGGCAAATCATTGCTTTGATAAAATTTATATACCTACTTTACATTAAAGAAATGAAAGTTGTATTGTCAAAACATGTGGAAATGTAAATTTAATATGTTTAAGTGATTTTTTTTTTGTGTACATGAAAGAAATATGAGGCTTTTTTCTTCACAAGACTGATGTGTTCAATTTAAAAGAGAGAAAGATATTTTTATTTATTATTATTATTATTTTTTTTTTTTTTTTTAAAGTCTAAAGACAATGTTTTACACATTTAGCAGTGTACTACCTTTTGTCAAGTATTTGCTGCTATTTTCATGACATTGACATGCACATGTTACACGACTCTTACAAGAAGTTTTATACTTAAGCTACTATCTTGTAGTCATGCTAAAAGTTGAGTAGGTAGGTTAAAGCCAGTCTGACCGATGTCTAGGTCTGTCAAACATATACATCTTAAATCATAAACAATTTCTAAGGTGAGGCTGACATTAACTAAGTGTCAGCCTATGTTGTAAACAACATGTCAGATTTAATTATATCATACGCTGATGACATTCCTTGCAATCTCTAAACAGTTCTTTGACATGAAATATTTTGCTCCAGATTTGAGAGACAGTACTGAGAAATGACAGTTATTGTGTCATGTATTGCATTCATTTCAGTATCATATTCGTCGGTTATTATTTGTTTCCAAGGAATTTAATTTCACGTTTCAAATTTTAGAAAATAATAACTGTAATTTTAAGTTTAGTTTCAGTACAAGAGTCTCTACCATTCAAGAATATTTACTGGTATAATATAGGTCTTATATATACTTAAAAGTTAAACAATGTAAAGGTAAACAGAAAACAAAGTACATGTACATGTAGGTTATCTGAAGCAATTATTGTATGGTCTGGTTTATTTCTGATGAACTTTCTTGTATTTTTGTATTTCATATTTGATACTTATTTAATTTGTTCTAAATTTTGAACTAGTAGATCTACATGGTATCATATTATTATATTTATTGATCAAGCTAATATTAAACTTATTTTTTTAATATGAAAATCTAAACAGTATTGAGTTTGTTGGTTTTAAGATTTAAGTTAGCATTTTGTTTGATTTAAAAAAAAGCACATAAGTAAGCGTTATTTTTGGTTGAATGATTAACTTTTGTTGTTTGTGTTAGATTATTTTTTTTGTATATTATTTAATGTTTTTAGATTATGTTACCTTTTGTATAGATATAAGGCCATGCCAACTTTCTTCTAAAATGTACCATGTAGTATTTAGAATTTATGGAAAGTTTTTAATACCAGCGATTTTTATTTTACGAAAATAGTCTTGTTCTCCCTCAGCAGTTAGTTTGTATCCATTTACGTTTAATTAGGACCGTCATTGTATATCTCGATATCGATATTCATCATCTGATACAATAATATAGATACACACTTTCAAATATCGATACAAGCTAAAATTTATTTATTTCTTTTAGTAAATATATACATTTCAATTTTGCTAATAAGAGAAGTCATTTTTTTACAGTTTTCTAGGCTAACTTGAACTTTAAACTGTGTTGACAAAAATAACAGAAAAAACTTTCGGTTAGTTTGTAGTATTTGTAGTATTATACAAGCATGCATAACACCATGATCCCAATTTAAAACACACATTTAAATGTTTTTCATTGTATCTACTGTTAAAGTTGATATATCTCTGAATATATCAATACAAAAGTGTCCATCAATGACAGCCCTAGGTTTAATATGTAATACATTAGAGAAGAATTCAAAGTAAGAAGAAATGTTGGCATGGCCTGTTTTTAGTTATCATATATATGACAGGGACTGCCCACACTTACATACATGTATAAAATTATTTATTTATTCTTTTAAACAGTGCATATGGAATATCTTTTGCAAGGCCACACAAAATAAACAAGTGCTCTTTCAGTTTTAAATGTCTTGGTTTTTTGATTGGGGTGGTACACATAATTCAAAATGTAAGCTATTAGTTATTGTATACAAATTAAATTTTAATTGCTATTCTTTTATTACCTTAGACATAAATTATATACAAGAGTCTTGTATGTAACTAAAGAGCCTGACAAAGGCAATGTAAGAGTTAAAAGCTAATGAACATTTATTAAATGAGTGTGGCCTTGGCAATACTTATCTACCTGAATGAATGAAAATGTGCTCATATTATGTACATAATGAATGGTTGAGTTAAATTGTTTTTTCCCCTATGTACATATTTAAAATTTAAATGCTGCTGTATAAAGCATACTCCAGTATTACATGTTTGTATAAAAAAGTTTTGTGTATCAATTTTCTATGTCTTAAGTTTGCCATAGAGAATTATAGTAAATGCCATAGGGAATTATAGTAACTTTAGAAACATAATCTAAGGGATGGAATATTACTGAATTATTCTTTTTTATCAGCCAGTGATCAGTGAGTGTATATAAACTATCTCTTAAGACTAAAAAATCATTTTCAACAAGACAACTTGTTTTAAACTTAATTTTTTTTTCTGCTAATTTATACAAGTTGAAAGAATGATTAAAGAACTCTATTGAGTTTGGAGAACAAAACTATGATAGCATAAGAATGATTCCTTGTATTAAATCTACATACAACAGCTTTGGATGTTGTATTTGTTGATTAAACAATGTAAGTTAATTATCTTATCAGTTAAAGTTAAAACGCTCCTTCAAGTCGGGGTAGTTATTTTGATGAACAATGTTAAATTATCATGTATCTGCTGTATCACAAACATTAATTTATGTTCCATTTTTGTTTTAAGTATATTTAAGGGAAATATAATATGGTATAAAGTCTTTTGTTTTACAATTGTTTCATTTTGTTTTCATAATTTTCTATTCAATAAGGCCTTGTACAAAGAATTATATAATTTTGGAACATTCGTTAACCATTATTGAAAACATCTGAACATTTGCTGCATTAAACAATTTTGTTGTCATTAAATTGCCCTTCAGTTTCTGTTCTTGCATGTAGTTTTGAAAATGTAAATTTAAATTCTTTGTAACAAAGAAATGGGGAAATATAAATGAAAAATATGGTTTGTTTTGTATAATAATTCATTTTCTTATTTCAGATTCATTATTTATATCTTTGAAAGACGAATGTATTGTTAAATCATGAAGTTGATCGAGGAAATAATATCATTGTAAAATATACCATCAGAATTATAACCTGCTTCAAAAAATCTTAAATAATTTGTTGTAATATATTTGCATTTCATTATATTTCAGAATATGTGAACATGATTAGTAAATTACATTAAATCTAAAAATTAAACAATGCCGTCTTATTTTATCTGTATCCAGTGAGTTAAACAACCAAAATTTATGCATTTAATACCTCCACACAACCAAAGGTAATGCATTAAATACCCCCACACAACCAAAGTTTATGCATTTGATACCCAACACAACTGAAGTTCATGCATTTAATACCCCCATACAACCAAAGTTTATGCATTTAATACCTCCACACAACCAAAGTTAATGCATTTAATACCCCCACACAACCAAAGTTAATGCATTTAATACCTCCACACAACCAAAGTTACACAACACAACCAAAGTTAATGCATTTGATACCCAACACAACTGAAGTTTATGCATTTGATACCCCCATACAACCAAAGTTTATGCATTTGATACCCCACACAACCAAAGTTAATGCATTTAATACCCCCATACAACCAAAGTTAATGCATTTAATACCCCCATACAACCAAAGTTTATGCATTTAATACCCCCCACACAACCAAAGTTTATGCATTTAATACCTCCACACAACCAAAGTTTATGCATTTGATACCCCACACAACTGAAGTTAATGCATTTAATACCCCCATACAACCAAAGTTAATGCATTTAATACCCCCATACAACCAAAGTTAATGCATTTGATACCCAACACAACTGAAGTTAATGCATTTAATACCCCCATACAACCAAAGTTAATGCATTTAATACCCCCATACAACCAAAGTTTATGCATTTAATACCTCCATACAACCAAAGTTTATGCATTTAATACCTGCACACAACCAAAGTTTATGCATTTAATACCCCCACACAACCAAAATTAATGCATTAAATACCTCCACACAACCAAAGTTGCCTGGCCATCTGTGTCCACTCCTGTGAAACTACTCATTCAATTAATATAATAAAACTTGAATGATTGATGTGATGTTTACTTTACTTGCCCATATCATAAGGAATTTGACCGATTTACAAGCCGGTAAGCAGGAAGTGGATGAGTGACAGACCTGAAATGGAATCGCAGGGTATAGGACCACGTGTTACCAAATATCAAGACGCTGTCCCATCTGCCCGACATTCACCATACTACCCGGGTTTGCATGCGTGCAACCCGGCCAAAAAAATAGAAATGCATCATGTGGAGTTTCATTTGATAATCATTATTGCAGCCCACTTTAATGCTCATTATGGTCTGTAATCCTCAACAGAACTCAGTCATAAATTACATGGAGGTTTTTTGGTTGGGTTTTATGGTGCACCAACACAATTTAGTTCATATGGCGTCAAAACAGGATAGATGATTATGGCCAACTGCGAGTGTAAAAATTAGGGGTCAAACCACCCCACCTGCTGGCAAAGAATTCAGTAATTTGAAGCCATTTAGTCATCATTTACGATCATGCAGGGATAATCGGTGGCTACAATTATGATACCTCAACCCTTAAAGGCAAAGCCTCAACCAAAGGTTTTAATCATGCTTTCTTTCCACAATGCATTTGTGTAGATGGACAAAGATAAGTCATTTTCATGTTGTGCGCACTTTGAAAGAAGAAAATACACTACTATCAAAATTTTTTATCATTTTAATGACAGTTGCAAAATTATTAATTTTCATATATGCACATAAATGTCGCAAGTTTCAAATTTTGATATTGTACAGTTACAACAAGTTTATTTAAAGAATTATTGTTACGCTTGAAAAAATAGTCTACATGTTACAAAGAAAAAAAAAAGTTTGGAAATTCAATAGATAATATTACAAATCTTTGTCCTATTTCCTTCATTTGAAATTTAAATGCTATTTTTAATCAGTCTTTTACGGAGTATGTTTTGGAAGATAATCAACTGATTGTACCACTACTTAGTACATACAATTCATTCAAAACTTTACAATCATATGATTACAATATTAACTTATTAAGAATGTTCAGCAAAATAGTGTAGAATTGTAAAAATATCTAACAGAAAAAAAGCATGAAAATATTTACATCATGTAGTTAATGTATATTGAATATTGAATGGGTGATGCAGAATTTAGCAACTGATGAAAAAATAGTTCCCTATAAATCTAATGAACACAATGTCTCTATATGTCATGTACAACATATGGGCATCATTAGCATCATATCTACAATCACATATATTGATTATTTAGCATAAACATGTTCTTTCCTGAAGTTCAAGTGTAATCTTTCATGTTGTTTTCAAACAAATACTAGAAATATGACGTAGATATACCCTTTTTTTGATTTCATTAAAAAAAAAAGTAATCCAAAATTACAGCCTCTCACTTCATAATTAACATACAAACATATACATATATAGATACATATGGTAACAATGATTCTATTAATGTTTACAACATTAAACAAAGCTGCCCCTTACATGATCATGAAACCATTGATACCAAGAAATATGTCACAGTTTTTATATATACATTAGTTAATACCTCATCTTGTTTAATTCATTAGTCTGTCTTTGATAAACAGAAAGTGCCCAGTGACTTATTATCTCCCCTCATTTATTACACTACTACAACTTTACCAGCGTAAACAAAAGTTTCACTTAACAGACACATAAAATATCCAAATATCTCCCATCGTAAGTGTATAATAGAGTTCTTATTTGTTCCCTTTTGGTTCTGCATGTAGCAAAAGCTAGAAAAACATTCATCACACTGTCGTTCATATATAAATACACTGTATAAGTATAAGCAAGAGAAGTAATTTTTGTACATGACCGACTCGAGGTACAAATATTTAAAAGGCGTATCTAGTCCTGATGTCTTCCAATTTTTTGGATACTTCAGCTGGTGTTCTGTCAAGTTCCTCTGCTACACTCTTCTGTTTGGCTACATCCATTGATGGAAACAACTCGCACAGGTCACCATCCACAACATTCTGTAAATATATTCATAGAGATTTTTCTTACCGCTGAAACTAATGAAGATGCTGAAACTAATCACAATTTACTAAATAATGGGCATATCACATAAAAAGTTATAAATTCCAAAATATTCTAATTATATTGCATGGAAAAAGAAATTCAATTTACATTTCAACAACTGCTTTTTACTTTCAATTGCTTACACAACTGAGAACAAGCATATTTTCATCTTTAATATCTAACCTAAACTAAGTTTTTGTTGTTTTTCTTTCTTTTTTTTTTAAACATAATTATGTGTTTCTTGTATTTCCAACAAGTAAACTGTAGACTTGGTGCACAAAGTTGATTCCTTGTACTCCATAAAGTTTCAATTAAGCTCAGCATAAGGTGTAAGCAATAAAGAACGTAAAAATTTGTCACCGTCTTTATCAACAAAACCTATCTAACTTGTACTACTAGAGTATTTACATAATAAAATTGTTTATTTCTTAGATTTAAAAACCATAATGATAATAATGACCAGCCAATGTTATCCCATACAAATAAGCGCACACAGAACTGCAAACAGGCAGGGCTATATACTAGTGGCATAGTTGACTCAGGTCTGCTAGTATTATAATTATATTTACAAACCTTTACTGGAAAGAAGTATGATCTGTATGAAAGGTGTTCTCTCCCACATAGAGGGGGATGCTCCTGTCTCATGTACATCTCCAAGTGTTGGAAGAAGTCTTGGTCCTGTAAATATCATATATTAGAACTCAGATGTAAGTTTAAAATACAAATTTTCTTTACTTTTTGATATCAAACTTCCTTTAATGCCATAAAAATAGACTACTCTTTTTATACACAAACTCTTTTTATACACAATATAGAATAGCTGATTAACATTTATACATACTTATTTGGCATAAAGAGAATCCAAGCAAATTGTCAATGAAGGTCCCTTTTTAAAGAGGAAGAAAGTGCCTGGTATTTTTCTTAAAAAATTTCAAGATTACCATGAAAGATCAGAGTCCAAGTTTCCATCTTTGTGTAAAGGGAGGTAACTAGCTAAGGAAAGAGTCGCTGCCCTTACATAACTAGAGAGAACCTCCAGTCAGCTTGGACAACAACCCAACCAAACATCAAAGATGTTACCGGTCACCCCACCTGTAACACTTCAGAGAATGGATTGACTTTGTCATCATTTCTTTATTTTAAAGAAACGGTTGCACATAAATTATGTTATGTATCATTTTTTATACTCTTCTTGTACTCGTAAAACAGAAAATTCTTATGTTAAAATTGTACATAAAGGAGTACCCTTGAAGATTGACCAACTAGCCAGAAAACTACCAAATATGAACAAGTTTATGTCCTTTCATATAGATAAAAGAATTTGAACTATCGAAGGTGACTGAGAATTCACTGAAATCCCTTAACCCCAAAAGAAACAGACACTTTGTGTAAATTTTAATACTTTCTACAACTTGAAAACATAAATTATGATAAATTACCTCATGTGATGTGAAGGGTACAAGCATGCCAATTCCTCCAGATAATGTAGTATAAACTAGAGATTCCGATCCACCAGGTATCAGTGTGGCTTTCTGTAATGATGTTACCACCTCACCAATATAGAAATTGATCAATATGTCAGCCTGAAATTTGAAAAAAAATATATGTCCAGTTATTTCATTGAGGATACTGTTACGGAGATTGAATAAGGACATCTTGCACATTTGCTACTAGGCCATCCTTAAAAAAATGTTTGTTTGCAGTAACCCGACCCAGAATTTTCAAGGTGGGTAGGTAGGTCGATTTTTTTTTTTTATTGAACTGTACTCCCAAATAAACATGGAATTTCAAAATGCTGGACAATATATGCTTTGATAATCTGGTAACAATTAATAAATTGATAACTGAATTCTAATTTAATAAGACCTACATTTTATTTCTTCCATTAACCTTTAAAAGAACGAAAACAAAGCACAAGGCATAATTTTCTGATTCAAAAAAAAAAAATTTGATCCAGACCATGAAAAAAAATTTGAGTAGGGGCAAATTTTGTGAGTCGGTCGCGTTACTGCAAACGAACATTTTTTTAAGGATGGCCCTAGATTTATTTACGTTTTGTATATAAGCAGATCAGAATCCAAGTTTCCATCTTTGTGTAAAGGAAGGTAACTGGCCAAGGAAAGAGTCGCTGCCCTTACATAACTAGAGAGAACCTAGCTTGGACTACAACCTAACCAAACATCAAAGATGTTACCGGTCACCCCACCTTCAACACTTCAGAGAATGGATTGACTTTGTCATCAACTCAACTATTTTCTCAGACAAATAACATATAGACAAGACATTTGAGCTTACATTAGGCAGTTTTTTTTAAGCAATTGCTCAAGTATACAATAACTAGAAATTCTAGATATGTTTTGATAAACACAGTTACTAAAGTGAAATATAATACGATTAATAATAAATAAAGCACAAAATCTTTTCCTTAAATGTTAACATTTTCATGTTTTGAATACGATTGTTTCAAATAAATTGTTTCAAATAAATATGTAAAAATAAACATTTTGTAGAAAAAGTTATATCATTCAATTAAATTTATTTTCTTTGGCTGAAAAAAGATCAGAGTCCAAGTTTCCATCTTTGTGTAAAGGGAGGTAACTAGCCAAGGAAAGAGTCGCTGCCCTTACATAACTAGAGAGAACCTCCAGTCAGCTTGGACTACAACCTAACCAAACAACAAAGATGTTACCGGTCACCCCACCTTCAACACTTCAGAGAATGGATTGACTTTGTCATCATCTCAACTATTTTCCCAGACAAATAACACACAGACTAGATATTCAAATTAGGCATTTTTTATAAGCAATTGCTCAAATATTTAAATACCAGAAATACCAGAAAGGCACAGTTACTAAAGTGAAATAATATACAATCATCAAATGAAGCACATAAATCTTTTTTTAAAATATTAACATTTTAATGTTTCCAATATGATCGTTTTAAATAAATATGTAAAAATATATACATTTTGTATAAAAATTATATCATTCAATTAGATTCATTTTCTTTTGGGGAAAAAGATCAGAGTCCAAGTTTCCATCTTTGTGTAAAGGGAGGTAACTAGCCAAGGAAAGAGTCGCTGCCCTTACATAACTAGAGAGAACCTCCAGTCAGCTTGGACTACAACCTAACCAAACATCAAAGATGTTACCGGTCACCCCACCTGTAACACTTCAGAGAATGGATTGACTTTGTCATCATTTAACTTTTCACCAGAAAATAACACATAGACATGAAATTTAGTTTTTAACAATAAAATATATAAACTAGAAATGTGTCCCATCAGACACAGATTCCCCCCTTACTTCACTGTTTTGTCTGTCTACAGTTGTACAATGGTAAATCTGTATGACCTTTCCCAAAATTGGGGGCATAAAAAAAACCTTAAATTTATCTTTGGGGGTTTAAAAAATCCTTGAATCCATCTTTGCTAAAGTTTAATATTAGAACAAATAAGATCAAAAATTAATCTTATCCTTATTATAAGTTAACATTTTTATGTGTTGGACACAAATGCTTCAAAACGCATATCTAAAAATAAGTATAGAGTGACACCATGCAATTGTTTTCTTTTTCTCAAGTCCTAAGTAAGATCAGAGTCCAAGTTTCCATCTTTGTGTAAAGGGAGGTAACTAGCCAAGGAAAGAGTCGTTGCCCTTACATAACTAGAGAGAACCTCCAGTCAGCTTGGACTACAACCTAACCAAACATCAAAGATGTTACCGGTCACCCCACCTTCAACACTTCAGAGAATGGATTGACTTTGTCATCATCTCTTTTTTTTCATTATTATTGCTCAATATTTGACACACCTAAATATAAACAAATTTGTTTACGGCAAACATTTTTCGGAAACTGCAAGTTGACATTTAAAAAAACGTAGCTATTGGGTAGGTATTTACAAGCAAGAAGAAATTTTTTAATTTTTGGGAATTAAAAAGGGAAAGGTTTTTTGGAAAAATTTCCACTTTTAAATTTTCCTTTTGGTGGGGGCCCACCTTTAAGGGGTACCCTCTTTTTCCCAAATTTCTTTTTCCCATTTGGGGGGATCCTCACCCAAAACATCATTGTGACGTTTGAGGTAATCAAATCTGAAAACTTTAATTTTAATTTTGTTAAAATTTTTAAAAAATTTCCCAAAAACCCGGGCCTCATGTCCCTCCCCAAAATAAAAACCCTTTTTTCCCTTTTTTTAATTTTGGGTTTTGCTTTGAACAAACTGTCTAATGTTGAAAAAGGGAAATTTTTAATATCAACCTCAAAAATTTAAAAACATCCTTTCCCTTTTAAAAAGCCCGGGTTGGACCTCAAAAAAATTGAGAATTAAAAATTTTTTCAAAAAAACCTGAAAAAACCCAACCCAAAAGGGTTTTTAAACATTTCAATAAAAAATTTTTTTTCGGGTTCCCTTTAATTTAAAAAAAGGGATACTAAAATTTGTTATTTTTCCAAAAACTTTTTTCAGCTCCGGGCCCCCAATACATAATCTAAAAAAACCAAGATGGGGTTATCCATCGAGGGTTTGTATCATCAGAAAAAAACAATCGGGCGGGTTCCCCCCCTGCTCTTTTAATACCGTACAAAATAAAAGTTTTCTTAAATTTGCCCAGCAACCACAAAAAAAGGGGCCCCCTTTAGTATTTGTTTTCCAAAACAACAAATTTTGGTACATGCGGGAAAAAAATAGAAAAAATTTTAAAACCAAATTTAAAAATTGGGGGATGAATATTTTAAAACTTTGGGTATCTTTAAAAAATAAAAAATTTTTCTCTTTAAAACTCTTCATAAAATTTATCAAAACATTTAACACATCAAGATAATATTAGAGAAAATTTCAACTCGAGTGCCAGTGTGGCCCCGAGTACTTAATGTGTCCGACTAGTAATCTAGTAAAGGCCAAGCTGCTGTATTATGATCTTAAACTTTACACTCATTGCTTAGTACTGGTTGATTCCAGTAACAGATTCAAGAGTTATTCAATTAGCTTATAAACTTACTCAAGGAATATTTAGTATGACAGGATCAGTGATATGGGAAAATATAGATCAGTTATACAAGACAGATAATAATCATTTTCTCTCATTAAGTGGAGAAGTATACTTCATCATTTCTATATTCTATATCACTGATACATAAGCAAAAAATAAAATACCTTATTTCTGAAGCCACTGTATTTACCTTATTTTCACATTTTCTCAGCATTTTCTTCTTGCCAAGATCATAAATCCTCAAGAATTTTCCTATTCCTATCAGGGCCCTACCCTGGAATGGTGCAATGGCTCCCGGCATTTCATCAACCACAGTTTTATGCACAAATTCAAGTCTTTCACCTTCTATCAGTTTATAAGTGTATAAAAATCCATTTCCTAATGTACGAGGATTTAATGTCAAATCTTTAGCAACACCAACTATAACATGAGTGTCATCTGGTGAGTTGGAGAATTTCACTATAGATAAACTGTAACAGAAAAAACCTCAACAATGATAACATACAATTTATTGACAGATACACATCCTTTTATCAATTATATTCTTTAATCCTTTTAAAACATCTAAACACCAAAATTGTTATTGAAGATCTTGGAGAATATAAATAACTAAGCAAGAATAACTCAAATATTCTAAAATAATTTCATACAGTGCAGTAGTTTTTTAACTTTATGATAAAAACTTTTTAGTGATTTGTTACTACATCTTTCATTGTGAAATTTTTTTGTACGAGGTATTTTTTCGTTAATTTACACTGTGATGGATATAGTATGAAACAATACAACAGTCAAAATTCAGGTAAAAGATCTAATTGAGGCATTATACTTGGTTTTGGTAGATTTGATCAATACCACAGTATGTCATATCATCTCGTTAATCTTAAAAAGAATCTGTTTTAAAGAGGGAAATAGACAAGGGAACAAATAAAAGTATACCAATGAGCTGCCTCATTCTGTTCAAGATTTATTGAATCCAATGTTGCTCCAGTAATAGGATTGATGACTCGGATAATTGACGCCCACATGCCAGCGCTGGCTTTTGGTGCTCCAAACACAGACTCGGGTAATTCCTCGTTCAGAAATGATGCAGCCATTTCAGCTGCTAACTCCCTCTCATCCTCTTGTGCGTCCTCTATCATTGCCTGTATATAACAAAATATATCAGTATTTTATAGATAATACTCATGGTAAATATCTTATTAAACAATGCCTAAAATAATGCATACCAACTGACAGTCTCAAAAATACTTTTTCTTTATCAAAATGCTATCATAAAAGCATAATTCTTAAACTAAGACAACTTTAATTCATGGTTAACTTGTTTGGCTTTGCTTATGAATGAGTCACTTGAAATCGCAACAGCAATTTATACTCTGTTACTATGATTCAATACTCTGCCGAGTTTTAAGGATATAATATTTACTGAAATGCTCGACAAGAGTAACTAATATTCTAAAACGGAAGTTTGCCACTATGATGTAAATAGGAAATACATCCAATTTTACAACTTAAACCTTTATAAACATGGGAGTACAATATACTTACGTCAGCTAATGTTTGTTTTCTCTGAGCTTTTGTTGCCTCAGTATAAGCACTATGATCTGTTTCTATGATAATGAGATGTCCTGACTCTGGATGTATGACAAACTTGCGTGGTGTATATTGCAAACTGTGAGATACTTGATTAAATACTGCTCCAAGCTTTTCTAACGCCAAAATTCTGAGGAACAATACACACTTGATTAGCAATACACAATCATAATATTTTATAGATAAAATATCCAATGTTTAAATAAAATCGTGTTAATATCAAATTCAAGTTGAAAGAAAATTCAGACAATGCTCTTGAAGTGCATTTTAATTCTGGAAAGTGTCAAAGCATCATTACAACCCAAACACCTTGATACTTCTATATTAATATCATTAACTTAGGGTTTGTTGAGGAATGGAGATGGACTAGAACTATGTACATAACTTTTTTCTATGTATATGTATTTCATTTTTATAGTATTTATCAAAGTTAAATAATAACAAACTATAAAACAGTTATTACTGGAAAAGTCAAACAAACCTCAATGTATTAGTAGAGATGGCTACAATACCCTCTGGACACTGTTCTGAGGCAAAGCCCGAGGCATACTCTAAACTCTCATATGATAATGGTGTTAGATGAAATCTGCTTTGGTAAGCATAACTTAACCAAGATCTACTTGACATGGCCAACACCTGGAAAGGTTATTATAAAACATACGTCATTGATTACTTATAATTATTTTTACAACAGAAATCACTAGTCTCAACAAACTTTCAAATATAAAATTTGCAAATTTTGAAAGAAATTTCAATATTTTTCAATGTTAATATCATTTTAGTATATCACTTTTATAATTGAATCTAATGTTAAATTTTGAATTAAATGTTGAAAATTAATGATACGGGCCTGACAATTTTTAATGACAACCCTTTCTAAAGTCAGTATAAAGGAGACAGTGTAAAGCTAGATTCTCTAATACAGTACTTACAGCCTCTGAGCCTTGCATGGCAATTCTGAAAAGTTTGACTGGTCTTGAACCGAGGTACCTGGTTCTCGTGTCGGACAAATCTCCTGTTACAGTGTCCAGCACTGTACGCAACAATACTCCATTCTAAAATATATACATACATAAAGTTATTTCATTCATTTAGAGTTATTCTTGTTTATCATACATTACATATTATAATCATTTTTATTCAAAATTTTTCCTTACTAACATAATAGTTGGCAAGCATGAATAAAGACTGCCTAGCAGCTAGCTTATTAAACACTTGGAACATGAACAGTTTACTGGCAAATAATATTTTACATTTTACAATACTGTATGTTTGCAACATCGCTTTTCATTGGCTTATCGTGTTTTTTATATAGATTTATATACAGGACTGCTGTCAATTTATGAAGAAATCTCACTTTTTTCTCTTAAAAAAGTTGCTTGCTGTATTATTAATATTTCTGACAGGTTATATGGCCATATATACAGTTTTTTTTAAAATATAACACCGCTTAATTTCCAAACCATTTATATAAGGCCATATAACTTGTCAAAAATCTTTATAAATACTAATAAAACAGTGAGAATATAGATCAGTTTATATTGACTGTTTGTAATCATTCACTCTCATTAAGTGGAGAAGTAAATTACATCATTTCTATATTCTCACTGAACACAATTATGGTCATAATAAAATTACTATTATTGTAATATATGCAATCTTTAACTTATAGTAAACAAGTTTACATTTCAAATTCCTGAGTTTAAAGTAAAATCAGGAAAATTAAGACATGCAGCTACTTCTTTACTTGGCTCGATAGAAACAATGCCTTTGAAAATTAAGCTGAACATAATCCAACTAATGAATAAACACTATTCAGACATGTAATCTATGGCAACCTAGGTAAAATGATTTGTTCTATTGACAATGAATATTATTTTTTCAAAATATATTTATACAAAAATTACAATAATATAGAGGAAATAGATCAGATTCATCTTGACTAGTGTGGAATCACATGCTCTCATAAAGTGGAGAAGTTCAATACATCATGTCTATAACCTCTTATATTAACATTTATATCTCAACAAATTCATTTAAAATTAAACTGTTTTATTTGATTTTTCCCCTAAAAATGTTACAAAAAAATTGAGGAATTATCATTAAGATTTTACCTGTAATCCAGTATTAAGGAACAATCCACCAGCTGTACCAGCCTCACCGGTCTCCTCTTTGGCTTCTGTACCTCCCATTTCTACAATACACAGTGACTCTGGTGCTGCTGGTAGAGCCTGCATACTCAATGGTGACAAACAATCCTACACATACAAATATAATACTTCACTTATCTGAGCAAAACTACACAAGGGCAAAACTATAAATACATTATGACAGCATTCAGTTTCAAACAAAATCTGTGACGAAAATGTCATAAATATATACAAACAATACTAGGAAGATTATAGTCCCTGTATAATTTTTGGGAAAATACCCAGAAAAAGTGAGAAAAAAAAGTGTTAAAATGAGAGAAAAATTTTCTCTTGAAACAACGTTTGCGTACATTTGTATTATTTAATTACTTTGTAAAAAAGTTAATATATTTATAATGTCTTTGATCATCTTCTGCTGAGTGTTTTCAAGTCAATATTATATCTTTGATGTGACAACTTTCTTGGTTTGCTTGTGGAGAAAATCCACAATTCAAATTATTCAAAAATATCTTTTATTAGTGAAATACTTATGTTTTAAAGTACATAGCCCAAATTGGATGCCTTACATAAATGTTCTGCTGTTATAATGCTTCTACAAAGAATATGGAGAGGAAGATAGATCAGTTATATTTGACTATTATGGAATCATTATCACTCTCATTAAGTGGAGAAGTTCAGTACATCATTTCTATATCCTCTTAACAGTACTATCTTCAAGATAAAGTTTGTTTCACATAATTTCATTTATAACTTACTGATGGATCAAGGGAGACAATTCTGACTGTGTTGTCAGCCAATCCAACTGCCAGGAACCGACATCTCTGCTCTCCTGACGGTACCCGGCCCAGTGCCATACATACAACATCTGAAGACATCTCTTTCCTCTCTGTGTATTCATTTAGTTGGCCAGTCTGTAAATTAAATTCAGGGACAATGAAAAAGTAATTATCTATACCTTACCAACTCTGACTTCACTAAAATATAACATTAGCTTTTATCTCATCATTTGGAAATGTGAATGATGCAGTAAAATTAAATACTGTTGCGAATGACATAACCTTCTAAAAACAATGAAAACAAAGTCACCTATTTACATCAAATATGTAAACCTGCCTATATCTCAGAAAAAATATCTCGCGTTTATAAAATCATACAACTTGTGACCAACATTTTTTTAATTTTCAAGAAAAATACATACAGGGTCCATTTCAAAGTAGACAAGTTCACCACCTGACAGGGCTATAACCACCTGTCTCTGATTTACAGCACACTTGACAATATTCTTCTTGCCAGGAGTTTTCCACTCATTAACTCTCTTGTCAGATCTAATATGACGAATACCATCTGGATAAATCTGTAAAATAATAAACAAGATTTGATGCCTTCATAAATCAATTGATTACATAACACGGCTTCAAATATCTATGCATTCTTTATTTCAATTTTAACACTGAAACTTTGTTTCACAGCACTGAGGGCCATTTGGCAGCCAGCTTGTATACTGGGCATTTTGTAAAAACTTCCTCGCAGTAAAACAGAACTACAGATTTAAGCAGTCCGATAAAAATGTAACAGTGCTTGATCAGGCGGTCACTACTTTCTGTCAGATCACTGACGTCATTGTGAATATTATACTATAGGCCCTTTGACACTTACATAGATAAAGAAGGAGCATAATTAAATAATGTATAATAATACTAGAACTATCACTAAATGTGATTAATACCCCCACAAGACTGCTTCGGAAATGAGGATGTTCAACTAGTAACAGAATACCTTGTAAAAGAATTGAAATATAGAGTTATGGTTGTTGGCAATTAAAGGTAGTTGTGGTTCTTGTATATTGCATTTCCTTTCAATGTGGTTGGCCATTGATGAAGTTTTATTGAATTACTCTGTAATAAGTCCAGAAAGACAAAGAAAAGGAACAAAGGGCAATAACTCTATAAATACTGAAGATGTAGTTATAGTTCTTGTGCACTGCACTTCCTCTTTTTGTGCTTGACCATTGTATGAAGTTGTTTTGAATTTCAACCAGTACGTTTTAAGTTATGCTCCAGACAAGGAAAAGTAAAAAAGGGCAGTAAACTCTGTATTTTGTCAAAAATGGAGATACGGCTCTTAATGCACTGCACTTCCTTTTAATGTCCTTGACAACTGTATGAAAATGTATTGAATTCCAAACAGTAGTTTTTCAAGTTATGCTCTGGACAAGGAAAAGTAACAAAGGCAATAACTCTGTAATTTGTCAAGATGGAGTTATGGTTCTTGTGCACTGCACTTCCTCTCAATTTGCTTGACCATTGTATGAAGTTATATTGAATTCCAAACCATTAGTCTTCAAGTTATGCTCCGGACAAAAAAAAGCAATGGAAAAGTAACAATGGGGCAGTAACTCTGTAATTAGTCAAGATGGAAGTTATGGTTCTTGTGCACTGCACTTCCTCTCAATGTGCTTCGACGCATTGTATGAAGTTATAATGAATTCCAACAATTAGTCTTCAAGTTATGGTCGCGGACAAAAGAAAGCAATGGAAAAGTAACAAAGGGCAATAACTCTGTAATTACTTTAGATTAGAGTTATGGTTCTTGTGCACTGCACTTCCCCTTAACTGTGTTTGACAATTGTATGAAAGTTGTTTTGAATTCCAACCAGTAATTTTCAAGTTATGCCCCGGACAAGGAAAAGTAACAAAGGGCAATAACTCTGTAATTAGTCAAGATTAGAGTTATGGTTCTTGTGCACTGCACTTCCTCTCATGTGCTTGACCATTGTTGTAGTTATATTGAATTCCAACCATTAGTCTTAAAGTTATGGTCCGGACAAAAAGAAAGCAATGGAAAGAGTAACAAAAGGGCAATAACTCTGTAATTACTTTAGATAGAGTTATGGTTCTTGTGCACTGCACTTCCCCTTATTGTGTTTGACAATTGTATGAAGTTGTTTTGAATTCCAACCAGTAATTTTCAAGTTATGCCCCGACAAGGAAAAGTAACAAAAAGGGCAATAACTCTGTAATTAGTCAAGATAGAGTTATGGTTCTTGTGCACTGCATTACCTCTCAATGTTGCTTGACCATTGTATTGTAGTTATATTGAATTCCAACAATTAGTCTTCAAGTTATTGGTCCGGACAAAAGAAAGCAATGGAAAAAAGTAACAAAGGGCAATAACTCTGTAATTACTTTAGATAGAGTTATGGTTCTTGTGCACTGCACTTCCCCTTATTGTGTTTGACAATTGTATGAAGTTATTTTTGAATTCCAACCAGTAGTTTTCAGTTATGCCCCGGACAAGGAAAAGTAACAAAGGGCAATAACTCTGTAATTAGTCAAGATAGAGTTATGGTTCTTGTGCACTGCACTTCCTCTCAATGTGCTTGACCATTGTATGTAGTTATATTGAATTCCAACCATTAGTCTTCAAGTTATGGTCCGGACAAGGAAAATGCAACGGACGTCTGGACCGACCGACCGACCGACCAACCGACCACCGGGTGACTCCTATATACCCCCCCAAACTTCGTTTTTGGGGGTATAATAAGAATATCTATACACTAAATACCAAGCTAGTCATTCAAGGTTTTAATAGATTTGGTTATACACAAACATTATCGAAACAAACTGCATCTAGAAATTATCCTGCTCCAATATTTTAGAAGAAAAAATTTTCTATCCGAATTCAGGAGTTTAAGCCTAGCATTTAAACCGTTTTTCTACATTATCAATGTATTTCCTCACCTGGACAAGAGCATCTTCCCCAAGTTGAGAACAAGACAGGGTTGGTGTTGTACCGAGAAACCCGGAGTCTGTCACTTCCTCAACCGTCTCTCCGATAGACAGTACCAAGGTAGCATTAACGAAAGACACAATAATGTATGCATCATAGTCATCTGAAAGTATACAGGTCTAACAACGTGAGAACTACGATATCATACTTTACGGAGATTATAATTTCAATCATTTCAGCACAATGTATTTAAAATATTTGATTGATGGACATAAAAATGAGAAAACTCAGTAAGAGGGCCCTGTGCCCTTCACTTTCACCTTTAGTCAAAATTACTCTAAAAGCAATAACTTGTGGCCAGTTGATCACATTATGTTGATGGATTGTGTATGTGCCTGTTTACATATTAACAAACAAGTTATTTTCTATTTCAGACACATGGTGCGACCCGACAATAAATAACCTTTGAGATGAAAATCCAATACCGCTTTAAACTTGATCTAAGCTAAGGAGGGCAGGCATAAACAAAAAGAAGCTTGAAATGAAACAATTCTAACCATGAAAAAGGAGCCATTTTTCTTCATAGGTAAACATTTCTTAGATGGTCTTAAAATAAAGCATCTTATTGCACTAATGCATGCCTAATACAAGAACTACATCTCGCTTCTAAAACTAGTTTTTAGTGCTTCAACAAATACTTTGAGTTAAATAATTTTTTTCTTCATATTCAGTGTCATGTTTTGTACCATATTGATAATGTCATATGATGACCATCTATTTTCAGTCTTTCAGGACCTCTCCAAGTGTCATTTTGGAAAAAAATTTAATACCACTACTCTGGTAGGATTCAAACAAAAGTATTGGACAAGTGCAAATCATTTAGCCATAGAGGATAACTTTTTTTAAAATTACGGACACATAACATCCCGTCTTAGAACAGCGTTCACAATTTCATACATTCTATACTTTTATTCAGATGCAAACAATTTATCTTCATAAAAAGTTAACTATTATGATATGGAAGTAGTCTTGGTTTAAAACACGATCCCCTGAGTCCTATATACCAACCTGAGTCAATCTGTATCTAATGCAAGTGGTCCAGAATCTGAAATAGAAAGCAGGCATGGTGATGGTGTTAACTCACACACCAGCCTTGCTTAATTAGTCTCGAATCTTTCTAGGTTTCACAGGGTAAAATGTTCCATAAAGTTAAAAGCTCCACAAATGTAAAAAGTTTCTTTTTTGAACCAATTGATAAATATGATTGCAAATTCTCTACTAGTTGCTTTATAACCCATATTCTACAATTTATTTCTGTAATGACAGTAGATTCTGGAAATACTATTACATTTTTTCTGAAAAGAAAGCAGTTTTTTTTTCAAATGAAAATCACAGTAAAACTTGACTTTTTCCAATGCTTTAATGAGTATATCCTGCAAGAAAACTTCTTAGATGTGTCAAGCTTATTTTAGAAAGCTTGCAGAGGAAGTTACCTTGCAGGGAACGGCTTCAATTAATGCCTGGTAAAACTGTGCCTAAACTTGCCTTTAAAGATCCACTCAATATTGAGCTACCTTCAAATCTGGTCAAGTTTGTTCAGCAAACAGTCTTAGCAAGGCTTTGATAAACTGTAAACAAGACCCTGACCCTGAAACATTTCTAAAGAAAGGCACACCCTCTATAGCTGCAACAGAACCTAAAACAAATCTAAACATGTTTATTAGTGCTAAATGTCTGCAAGACTTCATGTATATACAGCTTATATTGATGCTAAACGCTCATCTTTATTCTATACGATTCCAACATAAATTTCATCTTCTAAATGATTTTATTTTTTTGTACTTTTTCCTCAAAGCTGAATCAAACATTGAAAACTTTTAAGCATTCTCTCAGTGGTGCTTAGAATAAGATGTATTTCCTTGGTTTCACAAAGATCATCCAAATTTACCAATATTCAGTACAATATAGTTTTATTAAGCTGTATATCCAGGATGCCCATTGGACAGAAATACACACAATACGTCTTACCATCAGAGTGTTTCTTCACAGTCCATACAGCATTAGGGTTACCGGGTAGTTCCGATACAGCCATTTCAGACACCTGCAATGTATTAAATTAATACATGACATGTATAATACCAATCAGATATCTATACATATAAGTTTTACAAAGTAATGTTATGCCTACAATATCAGCTTATTGTCAACCTCATAAATAAAGAGTAAAAAAACCTTTATGAACCCCTTTTATTTTAGATCAAAAGATCTTTACCACACTTTCGGATACTGATTAAAGTATCAATTATTTCATAGATCTGTTATGATGGATGAATTGATCAGTGTTTGTTAAGTTATAATCATTCACATCAGGTGAAACACGGTAAACATCATCTCAATGCATGTCTTCTAACAGTCTATGTAAATACATAGTTGTAAATTAAACTGTACATGGATTAGAAAAAACTGCATGTATGTCTAAATTCTTACCTCGAGACCATGTCTGAGAACTCTCAGAGAAGATCTAGGACCTCTACCACATAAGGTATACAACTGTGGAGTGTCTTCATTGGCTAAATCAGCTATCTGAAATAACAAGTTTTTTCATTCATAAATATCTTATTGCCTTTAAATTTTATAGCACTGTATTAGTACATATTCTGGGAATGGGATTTTTTATGTATTTGTTTCAATTGCCACATTAATATTGTTCTCTAATTATTTAAGCAGAAACAGTTTTCAGTTTGGTCAGAGTGAAGTAATTTTTTTCAGAGCCACAACTTGTCCTGCATTTCATGCCCAATTTTCAATATTAAATGTACCGTTTAAATTTATCTGCGAGTGCCTTTTTATTAAATGAATAATAAATAAATATACTCAGTAATCAATTTGACACATTTAAGTTAAAAATTGCTGGAATAAACATATTTCCACTAGCGGAAGGAAACTGGAAACCTGGAAACAAAGATAATTCTGGGTATGTATGAAACAAAACATTCTGTAAATCGTAGATATAAGCAATAATTTAATGTGCCTGTCAGGTGTTTATACAGTGCATGCTTCAGAATATATGCTGTCTTTCTGGTTTTCCATCATGAAATGTAAACAAATTCCAGCAATATTCTAATTTGTAGATATTCCACTTGGACAAGCAGGCTTATATTTCTAATCATCCTGCAGCAAATTCTACTGGTAAATACGAGCAGGCAAATGGAATTTTACATCACATTTCAACCTTTGAACGATAGGGGACTTGTTCTAAATAAGTGAGATAATCCTGAAGAGTTTGATTACTAAGAGGTAAAGGTTTCCACAGTCAATGTCACTGTAACTTCCAACATATTAGCACCCTTCACCATAATTAATTGAAGCAAGACTTGCAATAATTCAATATACGTAATCAACAACTACATAACGTTAACATATTTACCTGACAGGATGTTATAGGTGACAAACTGTCCATTTCATCAACCATGACCAGGTTTTTCAGTGGTCGAGGAGAGAAGAAGAAAGTAGTACCTTCTTCTAGTGGACTAGCACTACTAAAGCGAGGCTCATCATCATCATCTCCTAGTCGAGCTATCTGGTATAAATTACTGTAAATAAACAAAATCATCTTATTTCTTTAATACTAAATTTAATGTTCAAAATTTAAAGATTTTTACAGGACAGAACATGTACTGCTTAGTTTTTCATGAAGACTGCATAGTTCAATATGTTTGAATGAACAAAGATCAGGTAATAGTTAAAACATAATCATTGTGATCAGGTGAAACACGGTAAACATCATGTCAATGTTCATCCAAAAAAATTTCCTTCTAAAAAATAAGTTTACTAACCTATTCCCAACAGAATAATTATATATATTATTAGAACTTTAACTTACTGATTTCCAAATTCCGAGGCAGAAAACAGAAATCCAGATTTCAACACACACAGACTTGCAGCAACAGGGATTGTATCAAAGTACTTGAGGTGTATTTCTGTAACCATATCCTCATCTGTTTCCAAGGTGATTTTGAAAATGTCCCCTTGTTCAGTTTGTGCCAGGAAGAAAAACATCGACTGAAACAAAATAGGTGCATTTTCTTCATTTTTCTAATATAACATCATCTACACAGATACATTTCTGAATACTGTATTTTATTTAAGCTTCAAAATAAAGAAATCAAGTTTTTATTGTACAAAATCTGTAAGTATGAAAATCAATCTTTTCATAAATATAACAGGATATTAAGATATGCTTTTATCGGTTTTACCTTTGTTTTATGTGTGGCACTGCATACAAATATCATCCCTCTTTCTGGATCATCTAAATCATTCTGAAAAGAAAGCAAACTACAAATTTACAATATTGAATATAGAATAAAGAAGTCTTTTGGGGTTTTGTTTTGGTTGGGTTTTATATCACACCAACAAAGTCAAGGGTCGTATGGCAACTTGCCAGCTTTATTGGTGGAGGAAGACCACAGCTACCCTTCTGTGTGTTATTTCAGGCACCAAGGTAGAATCACCAATGTTCCCTAAGCTAGAATAAAGCTTCTTAAACACAAATAACATATTCAAAATTTGTATAAAGGTAAGGTTCAATAGTTGTGAATTGCTAGTGTATAAACATGTCGCTAAACTGAAGATGTACTTTAGTTGGTCAAACTGCATGAACATGCTGACTGTAACTAGTCACTAGTTACTAGTGCTACATGACTATCATTATTGCCTCATGTGTTTGAAGGACAAAAGTTTAATGTATATATCATATGCAGCCACAGATCAGTACAGAATATGTTTTAATCATAATATTCAGGTGAAACACGGTGAATCATCATTTCTATGCTGCACATGTTTGTTTGAGCCGCTTCACGACAAAACCAACATAATGGGTTTGCGACCAGCATGGATCCAGACCAGCCTGCGCATCTGCGCAGTCTGATCAGGATCCATGCTGTTCGCTTACCAACCCTATTACAAGTAGAGAAACTGATAGCGAACAGCATGGATCCTGATCAGACTGCGCGGATGCGCAGGCTGGTCTGGATCCATGCTGGTCGCAAACGCACTATGTTGGTTTTGTCGTGACACGGCTCATATTTCTATTCCATCACTTTTGTATAGTAGATTCATTTCAAGCTACAAACACTAAAATCTAGTTTTACCTTGAGTGTAATTTAACTACTGGAGGAACACACATCAACACCAGGTCAGTTTGACAATAATTATTTATTTCTTGCAGTTTTAGATACCACCTTCATTAGATAGATATAGAAATAGATCAGGAATTTCTTACAGAAGTACTAGTTACATTTTTTAAAACTGTTACTAAAAATAGAAATATGTGCAACTTAGTCAACTGAAATTAAAATTTAAAACTATTTAAAGTGACATTATGCTCATATTTTCATCGTCAAGTTGAGCTAAATTAACTTTAGGTTTCAAAAGATTGACTGTCAAAATGGTGATTTATGCGAACTTAATTATTAAACTAGAAATGTGTCATCATGCCACGGATGCCCCCGCATGCAGCCAAAATTTCAGATGGTGCATTAATTATTTTTTTCATTTTAAGTTCAAAGCCCTTAAAACTTTTCAATGTTAACACTAACCATTTTCATACAATGTTCAAGGCACTGAAATAATTCAGTCTTAACCTTTTAAAAATAGCATATTGCATATTTGTAGCCAAAATAATGGCTAAAAGTATGAGTGCTGAAACTGAAAGTTCAAAATTTTTCCAACATTCAGGAAAGATAAGTTTGTCTATAATCATTGAACCACGACCAAATTCAAACTTAAACTGCTTATTCCTTAGATGTATCTATATTATTTTCAAAAAGAAAGGGACATAACTCTGCCAAAAAATCATCAAACCATGACCAAATTCCAACTTGGACCTGCCCATTCCTTTGACATATCCATATGTCAAATTTAAGTTGAATATGTAACACTGTTGGGTAAATAATGAACAGAAACTGTAAATTTCACATTATTTTCAAAGTGAAAGGGGCATTATTCTGCCAAAAATCATTGAACCATGACCAAATTCGAACTTGGCCTGGGCATTCCAAAAACATATCCATATGTCAAATTTGAGTTGAATGTGTTGTACCATTGGGGAGATAATAAACGGAAACTGAAAATTTCATATTATTTTCAAAGTAAAAGGGGCATAACTCTGCCAAAAATCATCGAACCATGACCAAATTTGAACTTGACCTGTATTTTCTCATGACATATCCATATGTCAAGTTTGAGTTGAATGTGTTGTACCATTGGGGAGATAATGAACGGAAACTGAAAATTTTATATTATTTTCAAAGTAAAAGGGGCATAACTCTGCCAAAAATCATCGAACCATGACCAAATTTGAACTTGACCTGTATATTCTCATGACATATCCATCTGTCAAGTTTGAGTTGAATGTGTTGTACCATTGGGGAGATAATGAACGGAAACTGAAAATTTTATATTATTTTCAAAGTAAAAGGGGCATAACTCTGCCAAAAATCATCGAACCATGACCAAATTTGAACTTGACCTGTATTTTCTCATGACATATCCATATGTCAAGTTTGAGTTGAATGTGTTGTACCGTTGGGGAGATAATGAACGGAAACTGAAATTTCATATTATTTTCAAAGTAAAAGGGGCATAACTCTGCCAAAAATCATCGAACCATGACCAAATTCGAACTTGACCTGTATTTTCTCATGACATATCCATATGTCAAATTTGAGTTGAATGTGTGTAACCGTTCTTAAGATAATGAACGGAAACTGATGATGACGGAATGACAGAATGACGGAAGGATGGAAGGACGGAAGGACGGAATGACGGAACAGGATAACACTATATGCCCCGGCCATTACATGGCGGGGGCATAATTAAAAGGAATTATGGCAAAATGAAAATATATTTTGACTTTCACCCGTTCACTCACTATACACCCTTGGATGGGCATAATGTCACTTTAAAATGACATGTAATCAGTTGCTTGGTTGACAAACCAATATTTTCCTCATACTCTGAACATATGTTTTACAGCTTTCAGGGCAGTCAAATAATATAATTACACATCATTATTTACATTCAACATCTAAATCCTTAATGTGTAAACAGCACATATATATACATTTCAGTCAAAACCATATTTCTAACAATTTACAAATAGCATAGATCAGGATCCAAAAAGTTGTAATCAAATGGTTTCAGGTGAAACACGGAAAACATCATTTCTATGCTTATTTGTTATCTATATAACATTTGGTATAATGTTAGATCAACAACATACAGGTCACCAGGCCACTACAGAAAAAGAAATATAAGATAGAAGACTTACCCGCCTTCTTGGAATAGGACATCTTATATCTGGTTGGTCACCAAGATTCTTGTATGTAATATAGTTCTCGGAACATATCAGAACACCACTAGGTCCATCTGTGCCACCAGGAACTGTAATCATATTTATATTTGTTTGTTGATCAAATACAGATATTAACTTCAGAAGATCTTGCCTTTATCAAAGAATTGTGTGTAAATTTTAGCAACATACCTCTTTTCTATTATTGAATTCAGGATAAGAGGGTTAATACTCAGGGTTCTCACTAGGACTTTAAAACAAGGAGTCCATGGACTCCAAAAGCGCGTCGCAATTAATATGTTTACAGATTAGTCATTCAATGCTCACAATAGCATTGCTGATATTTTGAATCTTCAAGAGACTTTCAAAGTTTATAGTTATTCAAAAGAAACTCTGAACTACATAGTATAATTATTGTTTTGTTGTTAATATTTATTATGAAATTATATCATTATAATGCATCAACACATGGAAATCCTTTTGTTTTTTGTTTGTTTTTTTTCCACTTTATACCAACAGTCTTCACGAAAACTTTTAAAAAGCACAGGACATTCGGGCCAGTAAAATATCAAATCTTACTGATTTTTAGCCGGACCAAATACATAGATAGGTAATAAATTGATGGGAACAGGAAAACACTTTATCATGCTTCCCTTGATAATTTTGAAAGAAGCACAATACGTCTTGTATTCTGGGCCATATGTTGACAGCTTAGAAAAATCTTTAAGGACCAAATGTTTAGGCAAAATTGACTAGAATTGAACATGAACAATGCAATTTGTTTCAAACAAATCACTTTCACACAAAATATTTACTTAACTCAATAATCACAAAATCATAGCTAAATAATGACTATAATAAACAATGGTTTAATTTCCGTAACTGTACGGTGCGGAAAATATCCAAGAAAAAAAAAAATGGCGGCCTCCATTACTCAATACAATTTAGACATCCCTCGCTGTGTTTTGAACATTTAGGACAGAATTGATGAGTATCATTTGCAAAAAAGGCAAAAAGATCAATCTTTTAGAGAACCCTGCTTAATTATTTTGATGAATTTTTCTTATAATATTTTTTCATGGCAAAAAATCTACTGGTTCGTCGGACCACCAACCTTGCCATAATCATTGGACCGATGCTAAATTTAGTGGCCTCGGGCTTCGGACTGGCGTTAATTTCGAAGACTGTACCAAATCAAATTTTATTCTGGTTAAATAAGTCCATTCTAAAGACAAAAAGTTTATATTTGTAAAAGAAACGTAAATGTATATAGGCAGCGTTTAGCGGAATGAATAGGAAAATTGTGTACAGCTTCACACAGTGTGCAAGAGATTCATCCGATCGACAATTATTTTAGCAAATATCTTCAAAAGAGGGCAAATTGAATATCGATATTTAAAAATTTAATGTTGATTAAATAATAAAGGAACAATTCATTCACATGTTTGGCTTGGAAACTGAAAATTTTTGCGAAATTTTAGGGTTTCCGGCGAACGTGAAATCGCCGATGTTCGGGATCAATTTTCGGATTTGTAGAATCTAAATATCAAAGAAAAGTGTATGTGTATTTTTGTTTGTTGTCCTGGCATTTCGGCACAATATCTAAATTTCTTATTACTTTTATAGAACGTTTTTGCAAGAATGAAACTAAAGCAAAATTGTGCCTAGAAAATGCCGAAAATATTCGACAATCATTCACTCATTTGTAATTTGAGAAAACAGTCTTTAAACTTGGGGCGTAAATCCTTTAGTCGGTAAAATTTGCTAATTTCCAATCAACTGTTGATCAAAGATATAAAATTATCACCTCGTGTTATATCTGGTAATTACATGTACAGCGTGTGTAAACATTAGTCTGATCACTATTGCGTGATAATGATCGGAAGCGTTATCACTGATTGGCTAATCGCTTCACAGGGCGATGTGCATAGGACCGCCTACATGTACCTATAGACTGACACACGCCGACGTATTTGTGTATTTGTGGTTGTAAACAATTGGTAATGTTAATGCGTCCCCAGGCAAAATTAAGCGTACGTGGAATCCTTGCTCTGAAAAATTTGCGTCCAGCTGTAATAAACATGCACATATAGTTAAAAACAATGACACCTCTGGGGCGTAGCCAGTTTTAACCCCAGGGCTTTTATTTGAACAAACTTTGTAGACACTTACTAGAGATGTTTCATGCTTAATATCTAAACTCTAGCTATTTGGGATTTTTCAAAGAAGATTTTTAAGTTTTTGCCATACATATATAAGGAAAATCAATGACCCCCGGGGCGGGGTCAATTTTTACCCCAGGGCTTTTATTTGAACAAACTTTGTAGACACTCACTAGAAGATGTATCATGCTTAATATCTAAACTCTAGCTATTTGGGTTTTTTCAAAGAAGATTTTTTAAGTTTTTGCTATACACATATAAGGAAAATCAATGACCCCCGGGGCGGGGCAAATTTTGACCCCAGGGCTTTTATTTGAACAAACTTGGTAGACACCCATTAGAACATGTTTCATGCCAAATATCTTAGCTCTAGCTCTTTGGGTTCTTTAAAAGAAGATTTTTAAAGTTTTTACTATATGCATATAGGGAAAATCAATGACCCCCTGGGGCGGGGCCAATTTTGACCCCAGGGCTTTTATTTGAACAAACTTGGTAGACACTTATTTGAAGATGTTTCATGCTAAATATCTTAGCTCTAGCTCTATGGGCTCTTTAAAAGATCTTTTAAGTTTTTACTATATGCATATAGGGAAAATCAATGACCCCCTGGGGCGGGGCCAATTTTGACCCTAGGGCTTTTATTTGAACAAACTTGGTAGACACTTATTAGAAGATGTTTCATGCTAAATATGTTAGCTCTAGCTCTATGGGTTCTTTAAAAGAAGATCTTTTTAAGTTTTTACTATATACATATAGGGAAAATCAATAACCCCCTGGGTCGGGGCCAATTTTGACCCCAGGGCTTTTATTTGAACAAACTTGGTAGACACTCACAAGAAGATGTTACATGCCAAATATCTAAGCTCTAGCTCTTTGGTTTTTTTAAAAGATATTTAAAGTTTTTTCTTTTGGGTTGCCATGGCAACCAGAGTTCTGAATGGAATTAAATTCTTTGAACAAATTTTAAAGGTGACCACCAAAGGAACATTCCTGTGAAGTTTGGATGAAATTGGCTTAGTGGTTTATGAGGAGATGTCATTTAAAGTAAAAGTTTATGGACAGACGGACGATGGACGGACGCTGGACGAAAAGTGATCACAAAAATTATTAAAGGGCCATAACTCTGACAAAAATCATTGAACCGGAAAATGCTGACAATATGCACAACTAGACATGATACTGATCATTCCTGTAAAGTTTGGATGAAATTGCACGAGTAGTTTCTGAGGAGTAGTCCGGATAAGTTTTGTGACGGACTGACGGACAGACAGATGACGGAGAAGTGATCCCTATATGTCGCCACTACTCCGTAGAGGCGACACAAAAAAGGTAAGACATTTTTACAGACAAGTTAAAAACAATACCAGAGATGAGAAAGTTGGCATGTTCTTCTAAAGGTTCCGAGTATTTTCTCACAACATGATTCAGCCCAAGATCCAACTCGTAATATGTTAATAGTTGCTGTGCTTTATCAGCAGATTCCCCAGTAGGATCAGCATCGCATTCCTGTAATATATAGGAAATAACAGATGTCTGGGAAATAACAGATATTATATGGGAAATAACAGATATCTGCAAAACAACAGAATATATGGGAAATAGCATATTATCTGGAAAATCTAAGTTATGTTTAACATTTGAATTTATACCTACACTAGAACAGACAACATAATGTGAATTTGAGAATTTAAGTGACAAAAGAACGATCATTTGGTGATATGTATCATCAATGATGAAGGTCATTTACTTTCAATTAAGCATGACGACATTTGCTTAAAATATGTTGTCATGTACAGCTGTTCTAAATTGATGAAGCCAATTCAGGGCTCGCGCTGGCAGGAGCCAATGAGCAAATTGGCTCCAAAATTATTAAATTGGCTCAAGAAAATCATGATTGGCTCCAACTAACGAAAAGTATAACTTTTGGAATATCCAGTCTAAATTTAGCATTTGCTATTTTAAGAATGGAAAATTACACATTTGGTTTTCCATTTACAACTTCCGCTTCACCGTTTCTTATCACAAAACACTGCGACACAGTCTCCTTTTTGTGGGGGTCATTGACTGGTCTATATTTGTTACTTCCCTTCCAAATAAACAAGATATGTTTGTAAAACATGTATGCCCCCTATCAGCAGCCAATTAGTCATGTGATAAGGTTATTATGCATGACTTCTGACCCAGTGATCAAACAATTAATACGGGTTATCAAGTATCTACTGGTCATGACCTTAACCTTTGACCCCTTGACCCAAAACTCAATAGGGGTCATCTGCTGGTCACGACCAATCATCATACAAAGTTTGAAGTTCCTAGGCCTAAGCGTTTTTAGTTAATTGATCGGAAACTGTTTTAACATACAAGGTCAATGTGACCTTGACCTTTGACCCCTTGACCCCAAAATCAATAGGTCATCTGCTGGTCATGACCAATCACCATACCATGTTTGAAGTTCCTAGGCCAAAGGGTTCTTAAGTTATTGATTTGAAAGCATTTTTACCTACAAGATCAATGTGACCTTGCCCTTTGACCCCTTAACCCCAATATCAATAGGGGCCATCTACTGGTCATGACCAATCACCATACCAAGTTTGAAGTTCCTAGGCCTAAGGGTTCTTTAGTTATTGATCGGAAACCGTTTTTAACCAAGAGGTAAATGTGACCTTGACCTTTAACCCCTTGACCCCAAAATCAATAGGGGTCATCTACTGATAATGACCAATCACCATATCAAGTTTGAAGTCCCTAGGCCTAAGGGTTCTTTCGTTATTGATCGGAAACCGTTTTTACCTATAAAGTCAATGTGACCTTGACCTTTGACCCCTTGACCCCAAAATCAATAGGGGTCATCTCCTGGTCATGACCAATCACCATACCAAGTTTGAAGTTCCTAGGCCTAAGGGTTTTTTCGTTATTGATCAGAAATCGTTTTTACCTACAAGGTCAATGTGACCTTGACCTTTGACCCCTTAACCCAAAAATCAATAGGGGTCATCTGCTGGTCATGACCAATCACCCTACCAAGTTTGAAGTTCCTAGGCCTGAGGGTTCTTTTGTTAATGATCAGAAATCGTTTTTACTGAAGAGGTCAATGTGACCTTGACCTTTGACCCCTTGACCCCAAAATCAATAGGGGTCATCTACTGATCATGACCAAACACCATACCAAGTTTGAAGTTCCTAGGCCTTAAAGTTCTTTAGTTATTGATCAGAAACCGTTATTGCTTACAAGGTCAATGTGACCTTGACCTTTGACCCCTTGACCCCAAAATCAATAGGGGTCATCTACTGATCATGACCAATCACCATACCAAGTTTGAAGTTCCTAGGCCTTAAAGTTCTTCAGTTATTGATCAGAAACCGTTATTGCTTACAAGGTCAATGTGACCTTGACCTTTGACCCCAAAATCAATAGGGGTCATCTACTGATCATGACCAATCACCATACCAAGTTTGAAGTTCCTAGGCCTTAAAGTTCTTTAGTTATTGATTGGAAACTGTTTTTACCTACAAGGTCAATGTGACCTTGACCTCGGACCCCTTAGCCCCAAAATCAATAGGGGTCATCTGCTGGTCATAACCAATCACCATACCAAGTTTGAAGTTCCTAGGCCTTAAAGTTCTTTAGTTATTGATCGGAAATCGTTTTTGCTTACAAGGTCAATGTGACCTTGACCTTTGACCCCTTGACCCCAAAATCAATAGGGGTCATCTACTGATCATGACCAATCACCATATCAAGTTTGAAGTCCCTAGGCCTAAGGGTTCTTTCGTTATTGATCGGAAACCGTTTTTACCTACAAGGTCAATGTGACCTTGACCTTTGACCCCTTAACCCCAAAATCAATAGGGGTCATCTGCTGGTCATAACCAATCACCATACCAAGTTTGAAGTTCCTAGGCCTAAGGGTTCTTTAGTTATCACTCGGAAACCATTTGGTCTACGGACCGACGGACCGACAAGTGCAAAGCAATATACCCCCTTTTCTTCGAAATGGGGGCATAAATATCGTTATAAACAGTAACACAGTCTAATACACTGACCTCATGGTATGTTTACATGTTTATCAGCTGATAAATATGACACTTATTGGTGTGAATTGTTGAATGTGCACTGGATAATTGGTCTTTATATTCAATATGAAACAATAACTAGCGGCATCTTAAGATTATCGCCAATCATATCAACAGCTTGGTTATGAAATGGACGACTTTACGGTAAGTTTGCATTCATATAATTTTATTGTTGTTGATAAAAAGATCAAAGGAATTATGAGTTATGGAATAGAAGTTTTTTGTTTTTTTTAATTGCAAATTAAATCTGACCTAATAATGGCTCCAAAAAAAAAGCATAAATTTGACAAGGAGTATATTTGACAATTAGTTTTCCTGAAAAAAAATGACCTTACTTTGTACATAACCTCTATCTGGAGCATTCATTTACAAATGGCATACATGGCTGTGAAATGTTTATGGAAAATTCGAGAAGCATACAACATATTTTTAGGAAACTTATGCTAATTACTTTACTCTTATAATGAATAGTTGGCATTTTTTTTCCCCTGAATTATGTTTAGTTTAGAACTTTTCAATATTCTTTTCATTAATAATTATTTTATAATTTCAGATACAGATAGTCCTCAAACCAAATCTTTGGCATTAACCAAGCAAGCTGAAGCAGCACATTGGAATGTGGTTCTGATGTCACTGTCATGCCACTAACTTAGATTTTATGAAAACATTGCTGACCAAATTAGCCTGGAAAATGTTATTCTTATAGCTCCTGAGCTGCAAGCTTTTATGATCAGTTTTAAAGTGATTAAAATGTAGCTACCAAAATAAAGTTGGATTTACGTGTAGTTTATGTTTTTCTTCTAAATATCTCATGCCTTTTTAAGGTGTTGCATATATGAACTAATGCTATAAATAAGTCTGACAATTGAATTCTGGTTATTTTGCAGTACCATTGCCTTCTTGAAAATGAAATATTGGCACGCAATTTTCGCCGCGAAAAATTGGCTCAAAGAAAAAATCTGCCAGTGCTAGCCCTGCAATTGGATTACAATAATAGATTTAAAACTGCCAACAGATTTTCAAGAATAAAGCATAAACTAATATTTAAATAAAGAATTAGCAATATTTTTCATCAAGTTTCGGCAGAAAAATCTATAAGAAAAGATTACCTCATAATCGATTTCAAGACAAGCAAATGTAGGATTTTCAAAACCAACATCTACGCCGACCATGTTAAACACCAAGGTGTTTGCTTTATGTGCTTCTAGTGGTGATGAGATTGTCAGTCTGGCCTGAGCATCTCTGTTTAATATATACACTAACTTCTGCTTCTCAACAGCACCTGGACAACAATATTACAATCTTTTAATAAAACAGTAATTTTAGAGGTGTGCAGTATATTATTTTTTAGGAGAATCTTTATTTTCAATGATATTTGAATGACAATCCACCAATGAATTTTTGCCATGGTTATAAAATTGAAATGTTGATAAATGATAATATCTATAGCAAGAAGGTTTTGGTTTTATAATATTGAGAAGACTCTAATTGTTGCTTGATGTTTATAATGGATGTTAACAATTACCTATCATAACAGCTCTGCCTTTAGGATCAACAGCTAGGAATTGGCCAGGAACAATACGTCTACAGCCACTCTTGCCAAATGTTTCCTGATGTACTTTCTCAAACATGTTCTTCTGTGCCAGAAACTCCAGGATTACAATTCTACCAGAGTCTGAGCCAACAACAAGATAATCTGCAGAAAAACAAAACTAACAGATAAACATATGTACAATAAAAGAACTTGTGCTACTAGTGTATCAGAGACATATACCAGTGTGATTTGAAATACAAAACAATCATGCCACATTTCTGTTGTTGTTTGAAAAGAATTTCAGTAGTTCATTAGTTAGATCAGCCTAGTATTAACCTTTCCAGCTCCAGATCCCTTTACCCTTTATATCTAAATCTTTAGTTATAAAATATATTATGAGGGTTTAATATGTAGTTCATAAAGAGAAGCCTGCAATTCTTCTACAAATACCAACCTTTGGTTCCTCCTGTTAATCTGAATGGCATCAAAGAACGTATAATTCCAAATGATTCTTGTGTCAATACAGGATAAATCTTCCCAGTGTTTGGATCATGTCTGAGTAGCTCCAGAATCTTTCCCCTAGCAACAATCACTTCCTGCAACTTGGAACCAGAAAAATTGCCATGGACAGCACAAGTGACGCCCGTGGCTCTCTGTAGTGTAAGGTTGTACAGATGCATCCTGTATCTAAATGTAAATAATAATATAAATGTTGTTATTCATGCGAATTAACGATTAATACATTTTAATAAGAAATCCATATATTTCAATGACTATATTCAATCTAGTCCTAATTATAAGACCTATACGTAACCTATGTCATATTTATCATTCATTAATCTGATATTTTACATTTTTCATTTTCCATGTTACGTTAGGTCTCAACAGATCTTTGCAAAATCGTGTAGCAAAAAAATTGACATTAGACATTGATTTAGATCTAATGAATTTAAACAATTAAAACAGCGTGTATTTACATTAATTTTTACCTATTTATGAACAAAACTAAAAAATAAATACCTTTAAACAAAATAATTGAACTGTCACAACCAAAAAGTCATGATTAAATCCTCTCATTTAATTAAATTCTTTGTACAGCCGATATACAAATGGCCGCCATACAGTGCACAAAATCTGATTGGCTAATTCAAATGCAAGCTTTAAATGAGTCCAGAAGTTTCTAACGGAATATTTTTTCAACGAAATAATTGCCCATGCACCGTCAGTGTGTTCGAATATATTTTTCTGTTCAAAAAATTGGAATCAATCTGTAAAACGCTTTACTAAACCAGTTAGTATGGCCGATGAGCGAAATAGACTGATATTTATATTTTATTTTTAATTGATAAGTACATTGTTTGAAAGTTTTTGTTGATGATAGACCATGCAATTGAAAGAACAGAAGATAAGCTTTTGAATAAAGCTTGAAAGGCAAGTCAACAGGCATTTTTTTAATTTTTCAAAATGCTACGCGTTTATGAGCAATAGCTATTAGACGTCAGACTTGACCAACATAAAACTATAACAAGCCTGTAACGTCTAATCTATTGAACAGGCTGGTGAAATTGCCAGATCGGGCTTAAAATGAAAATTGCACATTTCTTGGAAAGTATCAAAGTTATTTTTACCTTTTTAAAGCATATTATTTCCTACCTAATTTGTGATGTATAAGAACTAAAATTAAATGAATTTTAGTTATTACACAAGAATATTTTGCCTTTGTTGGATTTTAAGCAGCTAAAATTTTCAAAGTCCAAGAACATGACTTTTTAAAATGAATTCCAATTGAATTTTGAGTTTTATATGATCATATATATTCATTTGAATGCGCCATCATGTAAATTATGGCAGTTCTAATCTGTGTAAATTTTTTTTAGCAAAAACATGTAACCCCTGTGGGTGAGTGTGGTCAACAATTGTTATGCAATTAAAAATACAGCATACAATACAGAAATTTAAGGTGCTGGCGCATTAGAAGAGATACCCAGGATGCAAAATAATCCAGATTTGAGGAAAAAGTCAAATGCAAAAGATGTGTTTATGGACTTAAAAAAATTGGACCATATAAAAATGAAAAAAGTGATGTGAAATCTGTATTACTCATAATAAAAAATGTAAAGTTTGTTTAAGTCTATCTAATTATAATGCCTAAGATATATCACAAGTTTAAAAGCAATATCTTTGACTGTTTTTGAGAAATTACATTTTTTCATTTTAAGCCCGATCTGGCAATTTCACCAGCCTGTTGAACTATATTCCATCCAAAATATTGGTTTGTTGTTCAAAAACAGTTGGAACAATTGTGTTATTGTCAACGTCTAGTGGTGAAATTTAGCTGCAATTTGATATATAGCTTTACATGATTTACGTATGAATGACTTTACAATTTTGACTTATACTGAAATAGTGGCATTTGGCCGAATTTTGACGCGTTCAACTCCTTGTCTATATTTTATATATACAGTATATATTTTTTTCTAGAATTACTTTTTTTTACATAATCATAACACTGTGCTGAGTCCCGAGTCATCGAATCTAACCCCTCGAGGCTCGACCACGGAGGCGGTTGCATGAGCACTATTTTTCCTACGATTTTGTTTCTGAAAACTCTATTATGCCTTTATAAATGTAGTACTGATAAAAAAAATCAAGGTTCTTTTACATGGACCCCTGATTATAATCATATACTTTACTTTATCCAGCGTAGGGTCGCGAGATCAGAAATCTCTTGTAACCCCCTCAAGGTCTGACACCCAATAATCAATTTAGTGTTGCCCTACAAGGAATTTTGGTAAGCTAAACATGTGGGAATTTATTGCTAGTGAATGGCTCGAGTAACTGGAAAGATATTATCATATTATTTTTTAAATAACTAAATATTACACATTCACTGTGTCGTATATCCTACGGTGTAAATTAAAGTGAAGTCACTGTATTGTTTTCAGGCAATTTCCTCAGGTTAGTCCAGTAATCATCTAACATAAGCATGTTTTCAAGAAAAGTGGAAAATGTAAATACCATTCGTTGTGCCCTTGTTATATATGCATTATATATAGATATGATGTTTACGGATTTTCATCCACAGTTCTTTTTATCTCTATTTTTCGCACTCCGGAAATTGAAACCGGCAAGCTTTCCCACAATTCTTATTATCAGCGGTGCTATTATACCATACACGGTAACAAGTCGAGGGTAGCTATAAAACCCGGCGTCCCTTAGGAAAAGACGGCGCTAACTACAAACTTCTTTATTTCTTAAACAATTTTAATAACTTATATATATATATATATTCAAGAACTTCAAGTAGAAACAAAAGTTATTGAAATTATTTTTTATTACTTAAAAAAAATTAAATAAATAAAAAAGTATCAAAAAATTGGACTATCTACTTTATGTGAAGTCAGCACATTTTTATTTTATACATACTGTAAAAATGTGTAGCATTTACCAATATTTTCATATATCGAATTTGAATTAACGCATAATACTGTAGACCTGCAATCAGTCAAATTCATTAATTTATTCCAATGAACATTACATTGATAAAACTCTGTAAGTCTTTAGTTCATCTTAGAATACACACCAGACAGTAAACAGACAGTAGTTGCGGACGGTGACTACTCATCTGAAATACCATTTACCTCTGTAGGGTCCCAAGGTTCGGTGCTAGAGCCCGTCTGTGTCTTTCCATACATTAACAAGCTAGGTACCATGTTCTGTCCTTAATTTAAATCTTAAGTCAGATTATTTGCAGATGGCACTGCTGTCTATCTAACTACATGTATGTATCTATTCCTCCTCGATCAGACCCGACACTCCAACGTGATCCAGACAATATGGTCATTTGGAATAAGCAGTGGGACATGTTTAAGTTTTTCAAAGATTGATTTTTTTTTCATTTTGTAAGAATATGCTGAAAATATTCCCATTCATGTTAATGTCATTATGTATATGATTTCATGCCAAATGAACGATTTTCATGTTCTATAAATTGTTAAATTGCCATAAGTGCTGTCTCTTGTACTATTGAATATACATATGCAGTATGCTAATTGGTCCCTCAGATGCTACTGTAATAGCTAGGAATGAACACTAATCACGCAGTATGTCTTAAAATTGTTGGGTCTTTGAAGAAGAAGAAACTCTCACAGGCTTAAGAAAAAATGATTTCAAAAGAACGAGCCCGGGCCAGAATGGACAACTTCGCAGAGATAGGCAAAATATATTTTATCTATATGCTGAACAGAGAACTGATAACGAACATATTAATTATTTCAAACAGATGGGTGTGTGCACAGACACTCGGATTCAGATTCTGACCATACCTTGCCACGTCCTTCCCAGTAACTTTTAAAATTTAACCATAAGTGAGACATCTTTCCCAGTCATTAACTCACATGTACATATAGTTTGATCTAATTTCCACATGAATTTAAATATCCCATTTACTGTACCATCAAGCATCAATATTTAAATACTTGAAATTTTGTGGTTAATAGAAACTGTGTTTGAAAACAAGATTAGTTTTATTATTGAGATGGGTGTCCTAATCGTGATTTTATTTGTAATTACGCTTCTATTTTAATACTACTTGGGATATAACTTAAAATTATCTTGTTTCTTTGCTGATGTGGCCAAGAATGTTCCTTGGGTTATCCCCCATCAAAATTGTTCAAATGGTCGGTTGGATTAGTAAACATGATCTGATGGATCTCTTCCTAGATTGTTCAAATCACAGACGCGAGTATTGGACCTGAGAGGAAAATACGACAACATTTATAAAAAAACCTCTGTGTTCATCTTTAACACTTTGAGGGTATGACTTAATACCGGATATGACTTTAAATACCGGATATGACCTATATTTTACAAAGTAATTATTTTTTATAAATTTTTCTTGATACGATGTTTTATAATAATAAAATGAATTTACATGCAAAATTTCGTTAAATTTGGTCCATAAATAAAAAAGTTATAAGTTATATTCGAATTACGTTCTAAAAAAGTCATATCCGTGGCGGACAGGAGATACCGAATATGACTTATTTTTTATGAATTGATTATTTTTTTATGATTTTTTCTCGATACGATGTTTTTTTTATAATATAATTATTTTACATGCAAAATATCGTTAAATTTGATCAATAAATAAAAAGTTATAAGTTATATTCGTTGCGTTTTCTATAAAAGTCATATCCGTGAAGGACAGAAGATACCAAATATGACATTTAACATTTTTATTTATGTTTCAAATTTAACCATTTTTTGGCATGTTATTGAAGAAAAATCAGAAACTTTAAAAAATATATGTCATATTCGGTATCTTCTTAACAAAAATCAATTTATAAAATAAAAGTCATATTCGGTATCTTCAGTCCACCACGGATATGACTTTTATACAGATAGATAGATAGATAGATAGATAGATAGATAGATGACTTTATTTAGGACATGCAACGAATATAACATGTAACATTTTTATTTATGTATCAAATAGAACCATTTTTGGCATATAATTTCATTTTATTATGAAAAAAAATATCGTATGGAGAAAAAAAAACCTTTATGATCTATAAGTCATATTCGGTATCTTCTGTCTTTCACGGATATGACTTTATAGAAAACGCAACGAATATAACTTATAACTTTTTTATCTATTGACAAAAATTAACGATATTTTGCAGCATGTAAAATCATTTTATTATTATAAAACATCGTTTTGAAAAAAAATCATAAAAAAATAATCAATTTATAAAATAAAAGTCATATTTGGTATCTCGTGGTATCTCCTGTCCGCAACGGATATGACTTTTATACAGAGCGTGCGATATATGTTACTAACAAAGTCATATTCGGTATCTTCTTTCCGCTACGGATATGACTTTTATTTAGAACATGCAACGAATATAACATGTAACATTTTTATTTATGTATCAAAAATCAATTTATAAAATAAAAGTCATATTCGGTATCTTCAGTCCACCACGGATATGACTTTTATACAGAAGGTGCAATATAATTATGTAACTTTTTATTTATGTATCAAATTGAACCATTTTTGGCATATTATTTCATTTTATTATGAAAAAAATATCGTATGGAGAGAAAAAACTTTATGATCTATATGTCATATTCGGTATCTTCTGTCCGCAACGGATATGCCTTTTATAGAAAACGCAACGAATATAACATATAACTTTTTATTTATTGACAAAAATTAACGATATTTTGCATGTAAAAACATTTTATTATTAGAAACCATCGTGTCGAAAAAAATCATAAAAAAATAATCAATTTATAAAATATAAGTCATATTCGGTATCTTCTGTCCGCAACGGATATGCCTTTTATAGAAAACGCAACGAATATAACTTATAACTTTTTTATTTATTGACCAAATTTAACGATATTTTGCATGTAAAATCATTTTATTATTAATAAACATCGTATCAAGAAAAGTTAATAAAAAAATAATCAATTTATAGAATATAAGTCATATTCGGTATCTTCTGTCCGCAACGGATATGCCTTTTATAGAAAACGCAACAAACATAACTTATAACTTTTTTATTTATTGACCAAATTTAACGAAATTTGGCATGTAAAAACATTTTATAATTATAAACCATCGTATCAAGAAAAGTTAATAAAAAATAATCAATTTATAAAATATAAGTCATATTCGGTATCTTCTGTCCGCAACGGATATGCCTTTTATAGAAAACGCAACGAATATAACTTATAACTTTTTTTATTTATTGACCAAATTTAACGAAATTTGGCATGTAAAAACATTTTATAATTATAAACCATCGTATCAAGAAGTCATATTCGGTATCTTCTGTCCGCAACGGATATGCCTTTTATAGAAAACGCAACGAATATAACTTATAACTTTTTTATTTATTGACCAAATTTAACGAAATTTTGCATGTAAAAACATTTTATTATTATAAACCATCGTGTCGAGAAAAATAAATAATAAAATAATCAATTTATAAAATATAAGTCATGTTCGGTATCTTCTGTCCGCAACGGATATGCCTTTTATAGAAAACGCAACAATTATAACTTATAACTTTTTTATTCATTGACCAAATTTAACGATATTTTGCATGTAAAAACATTTTATTATTATAAACCATCGTATCGAGAAAAATAAATAATAAAATAATCAATTTATAAAATATAAGTCATATTCGGTATCTCCTGTCCGCCACGGATATGACTTTTATAGAACGTAATTCGAATATAACTTATAACTTTTTATAACGAAATTTTGCATGTAAATTCATTTTATTATTATAAAACATCGTATCAAGAAAAAATAATAAAAAAAAAATTACTTTGTAAAATATAAGTCATATCCGGTATTTAAAGTCATGTCTGCGGATATGACTCATATCATTGTAATTATTGTAAGACATACAAAAGGGAAATATGAGCCCCCTTAAAAATATATTATAACTTATTATTATAATTCTTTTTTTTTTTTTGGTTTTTGACACATTTAAGATGAACACAGAGGTTCAAGCCATTTCATTTGGAAAACTTGTTCCGGTAAGGTGGTTTTCTGCTTGCAATTGTTAGTGCATGATTGAACGGGAAACCAGCTGCAATCGTGCCAATCGCAACTTTTCGGCCTTTTCCGTCACTCTTCGGATTAATGATAAAAGCCGATATAGTTCCGATTGCAATCGTGACAATTCGGGCGATTCCGTCATACTGCGGAATCAGACGAAGTAATATTACGGAAATCTAAGCTATTTTAGTTACTTCGGTAATCCCAGTTTGTTTATATAAATAGGATTTCTATTTTTACTTGATTAAAACCGTAATAAATTATAAACGAAATTGTTCCGTTTCAATTGTTTTTCAAGACGCAAAAGTTAGTTTCTTTATATAATTGTTTTTTGTCTGTATTAGTTTTATACAATAGAGAATGGTGACTGTAGTAGTATTCCGTCTTGGCTTACCAAATCACGCATGATCGAGTTATATTTAGATGAGGTAATCTAAAAATAGCCCATGCATATCATTAACCTTGCCACGTGCTGATCTACAGATAGTGATCGTGTAACATAGTTGATACATGCTTATTAATTGGTACCACGTAACGAAGTATTTTAGTGCATTTACTTGTCTATAAAGCAACGAATGATTTCTCTGCGAAAAATGGGATATGAAATGTGCACACTTGTTTCCTTTCAGTGTGATAGATAGCTCTCCACGTTAGTATTTTTACGATTGATCATTTTCTTTATTAGTTTTATACAATAAAGAATAGATTTCAAATCGTTTTGACAAAAAATATTCGTTTTTCCAAAAAAAAAAGACCCAACTAAATAAACCCTTTATGATATACAAATACCGTAACTCAAAAAAAAAATGTGATAATAAATTGAAACAAAAAAAAACAAAAAAAAAAACGCAACAATTTTAAAGGGTTGGGATGAAGGCACAACTGTGCAAGCCTTTCCTTTTAAAAGGAAACTTTATTTATTAATGTGGTCATATTTTCTTCCCTGGCCTGTGGTTCAAAATCTTCTTGTTTGGGGTCCGCCTGGGCTCCTTGCCGTTGGTTCTTGTTGCTGGGTCATATGGGGGTTGCGTTCATTGAACGCCGCCTTTCCTTGTTGATCTTGTTTTTGGCTTGCAGCCACGGCTGCAAGCCATTTCATATGGAAAACTTGTTCCGGTTAGGTGGTTTTCTGCTTACATTTGTAAGTGCATGATTGAACGTGAAACCAGTTGCAATCGTGCCAATCGCAACTTTTTGGCCTTTTCCGTCACTCTTCGGATTAATGATAATAGCCGATGTAGTTCCGATTGCAATCGTGACAATTCGGGCGATTCCGTCATACTGCGGAATCAGACGAAGTAATATTACGGAAATCTAAGCTATTTAGTTACTTCGGTAATCCCAGTTTGTTTATATAAATAGGATTCGTATTTTTACTTGATTTATTGATTTAAACCGTAATAAATTATAAACGAAATTGTTCCGTTTCAATTCTTTTTCAAGAACCAAAAGTTAGTTTCTTTTATAATTGTTTTTTGTCTGTATTAGTTTTATACAATAGAGGATGCTGACTGTAGTAGTATTCCGTCTTCAAAGGGTGGTCCAAATCACACAGATTATTACTGCATATAGTTATATTTAGATCTACTGAACTTGTTGAGGTAATCTAAAAATAGCCCATGCATAGCATTAACCTTACCACGTGATGATTTATAGATAGCGCATCGTATCTGTGAACATGCTTACTAATTGGTACCACGTAACGAAGTGGACATGAAATGTGCACACTTGTTTCCTTTCAGTATGATAGATAGATCTCCACGTTAGTATTTTTACGATTGATTATTTTCTTTATTAGTTTTATACAATAGAGAATAGATTTCAAATCGTTTTGACAAAAATATTCGTTTTTACAAAAATAAAAACAACTAAATATGTTGGGATGAAGGCAAACTGTGCAAGCCTTTCCTTTTAAAAGGAAACTTTATTCATATTTCATATTCTTCGCAATTCGGAATTGTACGGGCTAGAACAGGGTTTAACGAAGTTAAGTTTGTATCCAAAATGGCCACCACCAGGACGGATGCCACGTCCGAAACGGACTTTGACAAGATTCAGAGCCTTACAGACGTTACAGAAATGCAAAGAGCACTCGAAAAATTAAACAATGAAGAGGTATCTGTATGACTGTTGTATTGTCAACAGTTTTTATTAACCTTTTAGTGATTTAAGGAGGAGAAATTTTGCAATGTATTCGGCGTAAAGAAATGTAACTGACATTATAGTCGGATGAAATTAATTTCGGATAAACACAAGTCATGTAAAGGATGTATTTTCCTTTTGTGACTTATATCTGTGAAGTATTGTTTTGAAGCAAGGAACTATATGTTGCACACTTCATAATTTTGTTCATGTTAATCACATCCTTTTCTTTTACATTTTTCATTTAAAGGTGTCATTTGGTATTCAATCAGAAGATCTGAACGATTATTCTTAAGCCAAATTGTTTTGATTGTTCTGTTATCAGAATACCCTGCGAATTATCATTGAGTAACCTTAAAAACAGCAGCGCCAAAGTAGAAATGACACCGAAAATTTCACTGATAGAATATATAGAATAACAATTCTATATAGAATATATTGAATAACAATTCCATACATTTTCATTGGTTTTTATTTGATTTCCTTTCCAATAAATTATATACCCTTGATTGGGCAAGCCAAAGCCTGGGCCCATTTCGCAGGCCCTTGACCTCACTGTTTAATCATTGATCATGAACGTAGGCATGGCCTATGAACGGGGAAGTCATTTTTCGTTGTAAAGTTGTTATTAGGTATTCATGTAACAAATCCATTTTCAATCAGAATACCTTGACGATTATTCTTAAGCCGATTGTTATGTAATTGGTATACCTTGCTGATTATCATCGAGTTACATTAAATATGGCGGCATCCAATTAGAAGTGATACTGAAATTTCAGAGATTGTATATTTTTCAATTTTTTTTAAATTTGATTTCCTTCAAAGTATAGTTACACATGTAGTCTGCAGCCGCGCAAGTCAAAGCCTAGGACTGTGAATTTTACTTCCCCTTATTAAGGGTTGTTAAAGGTCATAGTTTTGTCCATTGTAAACAGTGTAATAAATGAAAGATGTAAATCTGAAGATTTTGACAGTCTTCTAGTATTTAAATGGTCATAACATTTTATGAAAAAATATCTTTTCATATTTTTATGATAATTATTAATATATTACTTACTAATACTTAGAGACTACACTTAACAGATTATCAGCAGTCAGTGGGACACCTCATCTTGTGCAGGCTTCGCGAAAGTTGCCGGACCGTCGGACATGTCCGGCAAAAATCAGGCCGGTCCGATATTTTTTTTTTGAGTTCCGGACCTTATGTCCGGTACGAATACCGGGATATATCCAAGACCGATCAAGACCGAGTTTTCTCCCTTGAATAAAAAAACGTAAACCGAGTTTTGATTCGCCGTTTCATTATAAGTGTCCAATCAAATTCTAGATACATACATACGACTGTCAATAACCAAAATGTCGGTGTTACTACATTATTACGCTGGCGCTACGCCCGGCAAAAATCGTAAACTAACCAATGAAGAAAAAAAAGCGAAACAAAAGGAATACGAGTCCAGGCGCCCGCTGAGAATTTGTGGGTAAATGGAAAAATGGCCGCTTTGATCATGAATGTTTTGATTTCCAGACAGAGTCCATCAATCTGGATAAACTAATGTTTTATTTAAGGGAATAAAATTGTGTTGCAAATCTTTAAAAGTTGTTATGTCTTTAAAAAAAACACAAAGGTATTACCATATACATATATTTGGAAAAAAAAATCGGTCAGACAAAATTTCTTTCGGTCAGACAAGAATTGAAAGTTTGTCTGACCGAATGTCAGGCAAATTTTTCAGCAGTTTCACGAAGCCTGCTTGTGAGTAGTTGCTTGTCCTTCTATATTATGCCCTAGGGTCACTGAAGAGTGACATGCTCAATTTTATCAATTAAACAGATTAAAACTGTCACAATGATTATTTACTCAATTGTAAATCTACTCGGTTACATTACTCTTCTCATCTTACACTTTGTTCAGATCTGCCCAATAGAGACGTTTTTTTCCCAAATCTCTTTACCTAAATTATATAGTAAATGTTCCCAAAATGTAGAGAAGACTGGTGTCTCCTATCAGACAAAAAAAATCCAGCATTATAGACATTTTCAAAACAAACATTGTGCTATTGATCTGTAAATTACAACTGAAATAAATGTGAGGAAGTTAATATCATATGCATTCTACTGTGTTCATGCCTTTTCCCTTCTATTTTCCTTTCATTTTATAATGCTGATATCGGTATCAGTTTTAGCATGATATTGGTTACAATGTACATATATTTGCCGTCCCATACATATTTTCACAAATTTGAATGAGGTCACTCCACTGGCAGGTTGTCTGCATCAGTTTTTCTATAATGAAACAATTTTTTGAGTAATAAACACAAATGAAACTGCTTATTTCTTGCTACATGTATGTTATTCAGTGTTCGTGAGAAATACAATACATAAATTTTGAAAACTAAATTTAAGATACATGTATGTAATTATAAAAACACACAAGGTAAGAAGTAGTTCTTGTTTTTAAATGTTTTGTTTAAATTCTTTGATAGCTTTCATATATACATGTATAATCAAAACACTAGGTGTAAGGGTATTATAATTTTGAAGAGTTGCCTCCCTTAATGTGCACTTCGAAACCGAAAGTAGAAATAAATGAAGCCCCACAGTGTCAGATTTCTCAATTTGTTCTGTCCTGGTTATAATTAAACCCTGTTATAAAGAGGAACAACGCAAAGTCCCAATGACCTCATTGTATCTGGAGCGGCCTGTATAACACTGGATTAACCAAGTATTAACAACAAATACATATATGTGAATGTCTAGAGATAAATGAAAAAAAAATTAACACATTTTCTTCTTCCCTTCTTCTTTACTGATATGATTTTTTTAGTAATTTTGTATCAGTTGATAAATAGAAAGCAATATTTTGTATATTGAAATACAGGATAATGATAGGTAGGTAGCCTGAGGGAGGTTTGATTCGTTATACAACTGGTTACCACCTGGTAGCTCTATTGACTGAGCTACCTGCATGCTTATTTTCTTTCTTAGATTACTGTTAATTTTTGACATAAAATGTTTGCCTTATATTTCCAAGAGGTATGCTTATAACACACTTATAAGTTTATAACACAAATTTTTAGCACATTTCATTATCTTTATTGACTTTAATGAAGTATTGTTGTTGTTGTTTTTTTTTAATATACAGGATTTTATCAATAATGACTTGAGTCATCTGCTAGAAAGACAGGCCAATTTAGAGGACAAGATGCTTACACTACACAGGACATTGTAAGTTTCAGTTTCTAAAATTTGAGAAGTTAATTAATATATATTGTGTGCAACAAAAACATTTGAAATTGTAATTTCCTCAGGTTGTAGTTATATTTGATCATATTAATAAGATATTGTTTCTGCTTGGTGTTGGTAGTTGTCACTCCAGATCACAGCAATAAGCCACATTGAATTTTCCAGAGCACAGTTCAGCCACCGCATGACCGTATTATCACAATGGTATACTGTAATAAACTATGAGGAGAATTCTTCCTTTTTATCAACCGAATACCATAATGATAATTAATTTGCACTTTTTTACTTGCTTGTGGACCTTTACATGTATGTATATCAAACACAAATTGACTTTGAATCACCATGAATGGAGCTAATTGTGTGCACAGGACCTTGAAATTCTATCAATAATTGCCCTAAAGTCAAATTCCCCAAAAAAATCCATACCTTTATATTAAATAACACTTTTTTTTATACATAGGTATAGATTTTTTTGGGGAATTTGACTTTAGGGCAATTATTGATAGAATTTCAAGGTCCTGTGTTGTGTGCATTAGATAGGTGAAAGTATAAAATAATGTATTATATGCCTGTAGTAAATTAAAGGGAGGTAATAAAATATAAAAATAGGTATACAGGTATTTTCCTTAATAATAAAGGGAGGTAATAAAATTAATAAAAATATATTTTGTACTCTTTATGAATGAATTTTATATTTATATAGATAGCATTTAATGCATTTACTATGTTGTTTTAGTGTTTAAATTAGGTTTTAATCAATTATACAACATTTAATATCCTGTCTTACATTCATAAAAGTCTCATATATAAAGTACAAATTTTCTGTGTCAGTACATTCTTGTAAAGTTTCATTTAACTCTGTGTGGATGTGTAACTTGCATCCAGTACATAGTATATTTTGGTAGCCCAGTGAATTTCATGGGCCAATAACTTACTAAGATATCTCTCTTGTACCTTAAGAATGTAGAGGTCAATATTTAACCATAATATAAGAAAGAAGATTGCTCTAAGGAATTGTACACTAGATAATAAAATGCTTAATTTAGCTTTTCTTCATAATAAAATAGAGAAAAACAGAATCCTTAAAGAAAGTCCAACACAACAAAATTGAAAATGTTGCAGGCTCGGTTTGATTGAGCCTGTTCATGGACGGTACTGGAAAGTGCAAGTTACCGTCCAGGCCCCCTAGCACCGGCTTAAGCAGAATTCAACATTTAACACGAAAATGAAATTTTGGATTTAGAACATCCGCAGATGTTTTCATACGGCGGTTATCATGGAACCTTCAATGTGACACAGTAGTGCCATTCCATGAAAAGCGGCGTATGGTCCCCTAGTAAAAGAATGCTTTTGCCCTAAACGAGAAAACAATGGGCCGAACGAAATAATATTGTAAGCTAAGTCAAAAACTGTTTAAATAACAACTTTTATTGATAAAAAGTTAATTCCACAATTTCTTTAATTAACTCTGAAGAGCACTAAATTTGCTATATTTAACAATAGAAGTTTCCATGAAAATGTTACAAAATGCTCTTGTCACTACTTTTCGCGACTGTCAGGATTTAAAGCCAAAATGCAAACTGAACACATCCTGTCATGGCTACTTATATAGACTCTGAAATAGCCAGGACTGTCACAATTGACCAATCATAACATTCCATTTGGCCTGGCAGTCTGGCAGGAAAGACAGGAATTTCTTAAAATGGCAGCCATATTGACAGGAATAATTTAGAAAATGTAAATTAACAAAGTTAACAAATAACGAAATATGCAATTAACACTTGAATTACATGCTTAACTTGATGCACTTAATATCTGGACCAAAAACGATCATGGTTATAGCTTAGAAAGATGAACAATTGATATAAAAACATTCCAAGTGCCAGGAATTTGAATTTTCCCTCCTGACAAACTTAGAGGTCATACTGGTCATCAAGATTATTATGAAATACAGCAATGCCAGCTAACTATTTGGAAAGTAACTTAGGTCTTAGGTAAATAAGGATTACATTCTATGTTCTTGCATGTAAAATGATAAGTATTTGTACATGTTTATGAAAATAAATGCATTTAAAGTTTTGAATCAAGGTAGACAACTCTTATCGGCCATTTTGATGCCAGGATAAACAAAGTAGTAAATTAATCATTTCTTGAAGTATAAACTTTCTTAGTGTGCCTTATATAGTCCTAGAGCCTCAGAATGTCCTATATTATGGTCTTAATTCCTTCATTTACCAGAAAATTATCTAGACAAATAAATTCAGCAAATATGGATGGCTTAGGCAAGTTCAGGAATCCTGGCAGGTAAGTTTTAAGCATAAATGACTGAACAATATTACCTCACTTGTCAATAAAATTATGCTAGTTTGATGTTCAAATTTTCATAAAACATATTTTGTTTTCAACTGATATATCCATTACAAGGTCCTGAAAGTAAATTATTTGATAAACATTCACAGTCCCTTACAATAAGGAATTCTGAAAGGGGATCTGAGGTTATGAAGACTGCATATCACAGATAAAACGTTTATGTTACATGCAGAAGGTTAGCAGCTCACACGATTTTGATAACAGGAGGTTAAGGGTGAAAAATTATTTGAAAATTTCAGACCTAACTTACAGATGTTACAGACAGATTCTAAACAATTGTCTAGTATGGTGTCCTTCACATCAACATTGGCGGAAAATGTCAGTAGCAAAGTTAGGCAGTTAGATCTAGCAAAGGTGAGTGAAGTGAAACTACCAATGTGTCATTTTCATATTACACAATTATACACAATGTATATCATAGAAAAAATATATTATTCAAGCGTATATGTTTACAATATAAGTAAATATTGAGCATATTTATATAACTCTATCTACTAACAGAACATAACTACATGTGAATAAGGAGAATTCTTGTTGTATTATATTGAAGATAATCAAATTTCTGTCTGAAATAAGGGTAGAATAATGTCGATGAAGTAAGGGGTTAAATACAACAATAAGATACAGTTTTCTTTGCTGATATAACATTATGAAAGTTGGTTATAAATAAAGTAATAGAAAGAGCACCAAAACACAAAGTTATCTAAACTGTACAAAGGTCTTGCCCCCAAGTATCAATCAGGATGCTGAGTGTATTGATATTTTTTCTGTTTTGTATCATAGACTAAAATATAAATATATTCCATGTCATCACAATTTGAAACCCCAGAAAACAGTAACCTATGTTACTGAACATCTGAATATGACTTTTCTATCGTTGTAAACCCCAGAAAAAATGAGCCAATCAACAAGCATGCTCTATCTTTATCACTAACAAATGTGCTGTACTCCAATTAACACACTGTGCATGTATGAGTATATGATTTAACTCTGACACATTTTCAATAGAAAAGTCTTCGAACTATGATACATGTATTATTACAGAATCGTGTGACAGCATGTATACAGAGAGTAGAAGATATTCTAGATTTAAAGTACTGCACTGATGGTGTGCAGCAAGCTCTACAGAATGAAGATTATGAAAAGGTAAAACAAAATCAATACAATGAAAATAACTCCTTTTCTCTTCTTTTTCAATAGTCCATCTTTACCTTGTTTACTGCTTTTGAATTGCAATTTTGTAAATTTCTAAACTTATAAGTTATATCTCTTCATCCCTAATTATAAATTTATTGTCTCAAAGACATTCCTTTGAAATTTTCAAAGCAGGTAGTTTTGAAAGATTTCAAATTTTATAATTTTTTCACAATATTTGATTTTTTTGTTGTTGTTATTTTGTGTTTCTAGGCTGCGGGTCATATTCACAGGTTCCGGAGTTTAGATGAGAATGTTTTAAGAATGAGTGAAATGGCTAGTGAAGGTAAGGTTTATAATCAATGATAAATCTTTTATCAAAAGATAAAAAGTAAACAATGTAAATTCCAAAAGTTCCATTTCTCCAGATTTAAGAAAAGTTGCTTACATAAAGTTTATCACCTCCAGAAAAGACCACTCTGTAAATAAAGGTAATTTTTGACGACCCTCCATTGATAAGATAGAACAGAGTAACCTCCAAATAAAGACAACTTGTCTATTAAGGACATGTTCAATCTCTTTGGGTGGCCTTTGTCTGCAGGTATAATGTTTTTAAGGAAGGAAAACTGTATCTACCGCAGTTAAAATTGTCAGGATAGTCTGCTGAAGGTGAATTTTTAGCTCATCTGTTGCGAAGAAAAAGTCGAGCTATATTGATTGCTGTGGAGATGGTGTTGTGCAAAAAATTTAATGTTGCCCATTACAGGTATCAACATGAAACTTGGAGTACTTGCTAATCATGACAAGGAGCAGTTGTTAGACAAGGGGCATAATTCTGAAAGCCATATTTTTGGAGTTATGCCCTTTTCTGAACTTATATTTCTTAACAGACTAGCATTAACACCTCATGCAGTGCTCTTGTTAAGTAAGGTAGAAAGTGATATAAAATAACAGTTTTTGAATATTGTTAGTAAAAAGATTTAATTACATGTTTTTACAATAGTGTTTCTATATTGTAGGCATGTCCAGTAGCTCATTGGACACTTCTTTCAAGCTTCTACATGAATCAGAAGAGAAATTGCGAGTAATTGTAAATTCAAAGTTTGATGCATCAGTGCATTCTCGTGATGTGGCGTCCATAGAGAGATTCTTCAAGATTTTCCCTTTGTTAGGAATGTATGAGGAAGGTCTTACAAAGTTTGGCAAATACCTAGCTGCAAAGGTGAGATATACATCTCTATATCTTAGGGTAACCTTGCTATGAAAACATTTATATGGCACCTAATGATGAAAGACATTGTTTCATTTTCACTTTCAAAAAGTGGAATGTGGTATTATTCCATACAATCAAAAAGCATGATTTCTATTTTTACAGAGAGGACTGTTATTTATACATTCTCTGCATAAAATTGACTCCATATATGAATTCATTAGATATATTACAAAAAGTGTAGAAAAGCCTTTTATATTTAACATGTGTTCTTATTTTATTATAAGCATGACATACACAGGTTTTTGTGTCGAAGTTCAGTAGAACGCTTCACCTAAAATTTATTGAATTTACTTGTATTGCTCCATCTAATCAAACATTTTGTAGTTTTAAATTGTATTTAGATATGAGCCGCACCATGACAAAACCAACATAATGGGTTTGCGACCAGCATGGGTCCAGACCAGCCTGCGCATCTGCATAGTCTGATCAGGATCCATGCTGTTCGCTATCAGTTTCTCTATTTGTTATAGGGTTTGTAAGCGAACAGCATTGATCCTGATCAGACTGTGTGGATGTGCAGGTTGGTCTGGATCCATGCTGGTCGCAAACCCATTATGTTGGTTTTGTCATGGCACGGCTCATATATTTGCGTATTACAGTTATCAGAAGATGCTGACAAGAGTTTAAAGTTGGCGTTACATGGAGTTGATCCAGATGATAGAAGATCTAGTGTTGTTTTTGCTGATACTATTACAAAACTATTTGAAGATATTGCTAGAATTGTTGAAATTCATCAACCCCTTGTGGAAACTTATTATGGTAATTACAGTACTATTTGTTAAAGTTATACCATGCTCATCTTTTATTAAAGTATTTTTTTTGCAGTAATATATTGAAATCTAAGAAATTCTCACTAAGTATGTCTAATAGCACAAACTATGTTTAGGAAGCTGCGTTCCCTATTACAGGTCAAGTTAATTAATTTTGGTCCTTTCTTTTAAAAAAAAATGCCACTATGTATTCATATTGTATATACTTCTACATAGAGTTTACAGCTTAACATATTTTCAGTGTGTTTACTCAAAAATTGTTTTTTTAAAGTTTAAAAAGAAGCAATTAGCAGTATTTTCAAATTTGAGCATAATATATCTTTAAATAAATTCATTTATGACATTGAAACTTACATTGAGTTATTGTCTACCTCCCAAATCAAAGAATAAAATGATCTTTAATTCAAATTATTTCTTTCTTTCGAAAATTTCCAATTCTTAGCTATTCAACACTTAAAAAAAAGAGGAGCTTTTGTTATAGGCTCAGCATTTTAAGTTTGGTTCAGCATGGTAAATTTGTTTTAAAAATACTTATAACTAATTTAGGCAGAGAAAAAATAAATTCTCTTGGGTGTTTTGTTTGCTAAAAGATAACAGTTTATAATTTATATTTTCAATTATGTAAATTTACATTAGAGGTGTCATCGATAAGGATTTTTGTATCAATATATCGGTAATGAATTATCGGCGATACAGCGATATATCGATTGCCACGCTAAATTTTAGCTTTCAAGTCTTTTTAAATGTTTCGTAAGGACACTGACAAAGCAGTTATATTTAGACAAATGCAAAAAAGATAAACTATGAAAACTGAACAATTTGTTTCTTTTTTTATCATATAGCTATAAATGAAAAGTAATGTCTAGTAAATATAAAGTTTAAAGCCTTTTCCATTTTAATTTAGTTGTTGTTGTTGCTATTACGTAGTTACTGATCATGCTAAATCCCGTCCTTGCCGTTCCAATTAAGCCAGGTTTAATTGGCAAATTATAGTGTTTAGAACCTGATTTATTATTAAAGTTTAACATTTTGTAATCATAATTTTTATAGAGAAACACTGACAAATTTTTCTTGGCATTTTCCCTTTTTAAAATCTGAATTGAGGGGTCTTGCCATCCACTTAGCAGACGTGCAAGATTACAACGAAATTAGGCAGCATTCGTTAGAGACACTGGGAGGTAACTTTGGCATTGATTTCCGTTTTCATTTTAGAAAAAAATGTTTCTTGCTTCCATAACTTTATATGTCGCTTTTATTTTGACGTTTCCAACGGTAAACAGATCTTTCAGTTCTATAAAACCTGTTCGCTGAAAGCTATTTAGCTAGAAATATATGTGCATTTGATATCCGATATTTAAAAAATGGAATCGATATCGAATCGGATAATTAAGATCGTTGATACACCGATATCGATTGAATCGATGACACCCCTAATTTACATATAATAAATATAGAATTGTTAGACATGTATTAAAGGTGGTGATAATAAAAGAGGTGTTTTTATTACAGGTGCTGGGAAGCTTATTATGCTATTAAGCATTTTACAGAAGGAATGTGATAGACAAACAAGGAAATTAGTTAAAGAATTTAGAAATAAAAGAGATTTCGATCAGCGGGTATGGTCTTCCTATTTTCTCTAGTTATCTTGTAATTTCTTCATTGTTTCTTAACAATTGACCTTTATCAATTAGGACAATCTATTTCACATGATAATCATTTATGTGCTTTGGAACAGTTTCTTTTTACCTTCTTTAATTTGAAGGATGGAGTTCATTTTAGCCATTAACTGGTTTATTTATCAAAAACCTGGCAAGAAATTTCGGAAACCCACTGTTCCATAATTAAATGGCATAAGTGGCCAGTAATGATATAAATGACTGAATTGTTGTTTATTGTATACATCTGTCAAACTTTTGATTGCCCGCCCCTCACTAACCACGGTCAATTTTCAATGGAATTTACACAGTTGAAAGTTGCATGGATATTTTTATTACATTGAACCTAGAAATTGTAGATTATTTTATTATGCCCCCGCCATGTAATGGCCGGGGCATATAGTGTTACCCTGTTCCGTCATTCCGTCCTTCCGTCATTCTGTCATCCCGTCATCATCAGTTTCCGTTCATTATCTTAAGAACGGTTACACACATTCAACTCAAATTTGACATATGGACATGTCATGAGAAAATACAGGTCAAGTTCGAATTTGGTCATGGTTAGATGATTTTTGGCAGAGTTATGCCCCTTTTACTTTGAAAATAATATGAAATTTTCAGTTTCCGTTCATTATCTCCCCAACGGTACAACACATTCAACTCAAACTTGACATATGGATATGTCATGAGAAAATACAGTAAAAAGCATCATTGACAAAATGCATGTACAAAATAAATAGAAAAAACATCTTTTCATTTATAAACATCTTTAAAACTAAAATACACCATGAATCATTATCAATAATGTGAATATACTACGGTCATGTACATTTGTTGATATAGGAAACGGAAGCAAAAATATGAGCATGCGCCGCGGTAAGGTAATTCCCCGTTCTAATAATAGACTTTATCTAATTTTGTACAAGGTAATTCCCGGGTCATGCTTTCGTTTAAATTTTGATGCATGCATGTAAAGATATCATTGAAAATATGTTAATAATCATATTGATCTTTAAATATAATTGTTAAATAAAGTTTTTGCATTTCAAATGATTTATTGTTTTATCTAATATAACAACATTATAACAACTTAGTCAACGAAGACTCGTATACGGCTGTTGTCATCAATTCGTCGTAATTAGCCTGGATGATGATTGATGAACTGATGTTTTAGAAAAACTACTGAATACAAAAAATATTTGTGTCTAACTAACAATCAATTTCATAAACAAGATGTCTAGTTTATTGCCTTATGTTAACATTACCTAATACAAGAAGTATTAATGTATGAGCTTGGTTGTCTTTTCTGACTGATACATTTTTACCATTTTTAGGTCAGGACAAGTAAGTCTTAGGTCAGGGCAAGTAGTTTTAAAAACTACTTGCCCGACAGGACAACCTGATTCAAAAGTTAATGTCTAGGCCTGCAAAGGTACAACACATTCAACTCAAACTTGACATATGGATGCGTCAAAGGCATGCGCAGGTCAAGTTCAAATTTGGTCATGGTTCAATCATTTTTGGCAGAGTTATGCCCCTTTCACTTTGAAAGTAATATGAAATTTTTAGTTTCCGTTTATTATCTCCCCAATGGTACAACACATTCAACTCAAATTTAACACATGGATATGTTTTTGGAATGCCCAGGCAAAGTTCGAATTTGGTCATGATTCAATGATTTTTGGCAGAGTAATGCCCCTTTCACTTTGAAAATGATATGAAATTTACCGTTTCTGTTCAATATCTACCCAACAGTGTTACATATTCAACTTAAATTTGACATATGGATATGTCAAAGGAATGGGCAGGTCAAGTTGGAATTTGGTCATGGTTTGATGATTTTATGGCAGAGTTATGTCCCTTTCACTTTGAAAATAATATAGATACATCTTAGGAATAAGCAGTTTAAGTTTGAATTTGGTCGTGGTTCAATGATTTTAGACAAACTTATCTTTCCTGAATGTTGGAAAAATTTTGAACTTTCAGTTTCAGCACTCATACTTTTAGCCATTATTTTGGCTACAAATATGCAATATGCTATTTTTAAAAGGTTAAGACTGAATAATTTCAGTACCTTGAACATTGTATGAAGATGGTTTGTGTTAACATTGAAAAGTTTTAAGGGCTTTGAACTTAAAATGAAAAAAATAATTAATGCACCATCTGAAATTTTGGCTGCATGCGGGGGCATCCGTGGCATGATGACACATTTCTAGTTTTAGTATTATTTCACTATTCTGGCATTACAATGTGAAAATGAAGTGATACGTTTTCTCTAACCGATTACTTGAACATTAGCTCTGGAGTCTGATCAAGTAGTCGATTAACCAGTTATTTGTTGCTATCCCTAGCGGAAAGTAATGATCACTTTTGTATCATCTGTTCAGGTACAGCAAGTAAAACAAAGCTTGATGTTCCATAAACAACCAACTGCTGAAAAGTAAGATATTTTATTGAAGTCATTAACAAAACATTATAGAAATATATAGATATTATTATCATCATAATATTTTCTTCAGGTGGTAAGCATGAAAAATGCTATAAACCCATTATTTAAAAAGTTCTAAAACTTGGGTGTGCCCTTTCTAAAGAAAGAATAAATTATTCATTTTTGTTCAAATTTATTGTTACTATTATTTTAATCATGTTTGAATGGTTTTATGTATAATTTTAAATAGTCAATTTATGATTGTGATATTTCAGACCAGATTCAAAGGACCTGGATGTGTTGTTGTCCGAGGTTGTTTTATTGAACACAAGAGCAGAACTTTATCTGAGATTTGTTAAAAGAAGATTAATGGTAGGGTTATGATTTTTTAATTAGTAGATAATTATTATAGTAATAGAATACTTACAAGGCTGACTTTGAACTTGCACCTCACTGCCGTGGGTTTGAATCCTGCCAGGGACTTTGGATTATTTCATGTGAGGATGCAATCCAGCTAGCTTACAAAACATAGGTGGTTCTTCTCAGATGCCCATACATTCCTGAAATAATGAAGGATGGGGTACCTTAGGTCTTCCTCCACAAGTAAAGCCAATAAGTGACCATATGACCTTAACCTTGTTGATGCGTTGTTTAACTCGACAAAAAAGAAAAAAAAACATATTGGTCTCATCTGCTTTGAATTTGGACTTTGCAAGTTACAGGAAGTCAGTTTGTTTTATAAATATCTCTTGTCTTTATTGGCAGATACATTCATTAACATAAATGTTGATATTTTTACAGGGTGATTTTGAAGCAGCATTCCAAGACTCAGAAACAAGAGAAGGTAATTATATGATGTACATGTCCTTTTGATTTTGAAACTAATTTTAGCGTTAACATTCAGAGAATACTGAGAGCACTTACACTCACCCAGGGGTTGGCATCAGAGTCACACTTTGGTTAAGTTTTTACGTTCAAGTTTGTATCTCCAAAACTACTAAAGAGAATAGGTTAAAACTTCAAACACATGTTTGAGGGCAAAGTAGGTGCTCACTTTCCAATGTCTCTAACATGGACTTTGACAGAATTGTGGCCCTTTTTGAACATAGAAAATTCAACATCATTCTGGCTTTAGTTTTGCTAATAATCAATGACACTGTCCTATTGACAGCTCTTGTTATCATAATAGAAATATGTGATATTTATTCATAAAAATTGTATTCCTTAGTAGTTCACATGGTTGATTTTTGAAGAATCAAAAATTAAAACATTGTGCACCCTTAAACTATTTTATACTTATACATAGACTGGCATCTTGGATTCCTCTCTTCCAGCAACATTGTAGAAAATTTGCCGTATGACAAGCTTTAATAAATATTTAAAAAAAAATAGAAATGAATTAATGATCATAACTATTTCAAATTTCCTAGATTTGATGACATACCAATCTCTATAATTGCAGAAAAAGAAAAGGAAGTTGACAAGTTTATTCAAGATTGTGATACAAGTCGAGTAATGATGGATTTGATAGGAAATTATATTCTAATGGAGGAATATTTCATGAGAGAAATGGTTCTAAAGGTATGAAGACTGCGTCAAGTTTATAAATATCAGACTTAAACTAGTCTGAAATTTAAAGGTCACTCTACAGACAAGTATATATATATTGAACTGATTCCATTGCCGTATTTCCAATTGTTCTTCCCAAACCTTACATCTTGGAATGGATCTTTTAAAATTTATTAAGAAATAAATGTTTATCACAACTTCAAGGAAAATGTTAATTTCAAGCGGTGACTTATAAATTTTTATAAAATTTTCATACATATTTGGGATAATTGGAAAATGATTATTATACAGGCTGTTGCCATGGATTCCATAGATACAGGGACACCAACATCTAGTATGGTAGATGATTCCTTCTTTATTGTGAAGAAATGTGTAAGGTAAGTTGACACATGATGTTATTAAGTTAAATACAGTTTGATCTGCTCTAAGGGTTGTCTTATATTGATGGTCACCTTATGTCAATGGTCATATCATGATGTTCTCATTAAAAACCTTTCTCTTGTCAACTCAACACTTCTTACAATACATGTTTATGTCTGTTATTTGCATTTTGCAACCAGGCAAATAACGTTGTTTTTTTTCCCGAAAATTATCTGATCAAGAATTTAAAATAATTCTGATACAATAAGCACTAACATACAAGTAATTTGATGATGAAGTGACACAATTAATTTGATATGCATTTGAATTTTAACTTCCAATAAGATGTTTTTGACACACAGCTATTCCAGCAAAAAGGTTGATTCCACTTTCTAATATCCCTACAGGTTAAGCAATGTTTGTTACATACTAGTAAAGGTAATAATTTCAGCAGTCAGGCAAACTTTTAAAACTTTTCCTGTCTGGAATTCTTACCTGATATGGGTATACATGGTCAGCTCATAAGTTTAACTGAGCACATTGTACATTATACCTGTAACTTTTAATTAGTGACTTAAACATCCTCGTCCAAATTTGTCATTTTGTAGTACAAACGCTGGCACTACATCTAGACTTTATATATGATAAATTTTAACGTAGAATAAAGCCATCATTTCTGCATAGATCTAGAAATTTATTCTAATAGATTTTAATCTATCAAATCTTTGGTAAGTGTAGGCTTTGATTAAATGCTTGTAACAGAATACATTTTTTTCTTTCCCAGACGTGCCATGTCCAGCTCAAGTGTAGATGGGGTTTGTGCAATGTTGAATCATGCATGTACAATTTTGGAACAAGATTTTCGTGAAGTTTTGTATTCGCGAGTGAGGGCAGGATTTCCCTCAGGGTTTGATCTGACGCAAGCTTATAACATGGTTATACAACAGGGAAAATCTACAGATACTGAAAAAGCAAAAACACAGTTTATAGTAAGTATTAAATTGTATAATTAAAACAACATGACTTTGCTTGAAATTTCATTGTTGAGAATATGATAAAATCATTCTGGAAACATTTAATTTATTATTATCTACTACACAAACTTTTCAATTCTCTAATGTTTTGAGGGGTGAAAGAACATAGTGTAAGATAAGAAGATAAATATGTAATTTATAAAATAAACGGAAACTCCTTGAAAAAATGGGGTTTAATCTCTTGAAACGTTGGAGATTGAAAAGTTTGTGTAGTAGATAATGAGAATATTATAAAAACTAGGTTTTTTTCGTAAATTTTATTTTTATAATTTTTTTTGCTTTCATAGTTAAAATTGCATTGTAAATTTCTGTAGAACTTAGAAGAATAAACTTCCTATTTTCAGAAAAAACATTTTTCCAAAGTTGTTCGTATTGATATTGTAACAGTAAGAAATGAAGTTTTGATATTTTACCAATTATTATCCCTGTATATAAGTTTACGGAACAGATTTCATCCTAATATTATAACCCTATTTCTATACCCAAATTTATAATTCAAATGAATGTTAAACCCTGAACCTGCATGAAATATTTGGGACAGTCCATTATTAGAAATAAGGGATTCTACTTCAAGATACAAAAAGCGAGCTTCAGACAGGAATCAAGCTTGGTCAGACTGAACAGATGTGCAGGCTGCCCCGGCTCTTCACTTGTAGCAAAGGGCAATCACTTCTTGTTTCATAGAGGATATTGAATGAGTGTAAGTTCAATACTGAATTTATTGCACAAGTTGAATAAAATTATATTATGCAAGCCTCTGGCGAGCAGAATATTATTTTATTCAACAAGTGCAATAAATTCAGTAATGAACTTACACGAATCTAATATTCTATTTATCACATACCCCCAAAAAAGACCGTTTAATGTGAAATAAAAGTCATTTTTCATTGACGCGCCTATAGTATAACGCTTACATATAGCGCGTCTTTACACTATGTTTGTATAACGCTTATGTCGTCACGTCAATATATATGCACGGCCGTGCAATACCATTTTTACGGAGTCGCAAAATCGGCACGGGTGTGTGATAAAACAGGATAAAGATTAATTGGTCAATGATTTTCATATCTGTTATCGGCACTATGACAAGTGGATGCTTTCCATTACTTTTGCAAGCAACTATTACTCATATGCATATGTATCCTTATGTATACCCTCAATGCCCTCCTGTCCCAATATATAATACAGTTTAGATCTGCATGTATCTACAGAGTAGAATACCTTCTTGAAATTTAATATATATTACAAAATAAACAAAGCTTTTTACATGTGCATTTATATCAAATATTAAATTAGTTGTGTAATGTAAATGGAAATGAAAATACAGTATCTTAATAATGAAAATATTCGAAACATAGTTACAAAATCTATTTTGATAATAAACAATTAGATATTAAAGCAGCACGCCTCCAGATTCATGCTAATTTTCATGAAAATTTTGAAAATGTATTTAAATGTATAATATTGTGAAATAACCAAAAGGAAGCAATTTACACATTATCAATGACACTTACAACCCACGTAAATTACCAAAAAGTGGTCAAAATATGCATAAAAAGCCCTTACTGCGTTAGTAACGCAGTAGAAATATACTTGTAAATCCCGAAAAAACAGTCATTAATCGCACATAACATGTAAAATATTACTTAAATCTTGAATCATTTTATTTTTCCTAAAATCTTAGTACATATTTCTCAAGTTTGATTTTATTGAAATATTTTGACTCATCTGGAGGCATGCAGCTTTAAACAGAAGGTAATATTCTCTAAACAAAAGGTTATGACCTCTGGCTTCGAATCATTGCCTGGAAAAGTCTGGGGATCAAAGCCTACGAGATGTTGCATGCTTAAGTGTTTGAAAACTATTGTGCTAAATAAAGGAAAGCCATTGGTCTTTCAAAGAAATGTTAATGGACATTTCCAGTGTTTACAGTATTATGCAAATTTGCTGACTAGCTATCCAATATAGCTACACTGGGATAATACATAGTCACTGGTTGACTTGGTTTACACACAAAAACAACATGGTTTTGTTTGTGATATTGTTAGTGAGCAGTTAACCTAGCATTAAATAGAAGGTGCGGGACTAAATATTTTACTGCTAAAAACTTGAAATGTCCATTTTGCCTTTGACTGAAATAAAACATGGAGGAGATATGTGGCATACCAGCAGTAGCACAGCCAGATAGTTGTCAGTGTGACATTAAATAAAAAAATAAAAAGACAAGTTGGTCAATTGTCAAGTTTTGAATTATCAGTTTATAAATAATAATATACTTTATTTTATTCCAGACAACATTAAACAATGCTGAAGTGAGTTGTGACTACTGTAAACAACTAAAGGCAAATCTAGAGGTATGTTTTTAACTTTATTCGTATATTATTTGTTCATATAAATAGTAGAACATTTGTAAGTACATGTAGTATTGTCTTGAGAAACTTGTTGAAATTTCGAGATAACTATGAAATATGGTAATTAAATTAAGTGATTTATGTTGCTCAGTTATTGCAGACAGTTTGTTAGATGAGGAAGCTTAACATCCCCTGAGAAGGGTGTCACGATTAACCGAAATACCAAAACACTACCGGAATACCCCAGGAATACCCGATAACAGATATAAGAAAGCCGAAATACCTGGTAGTAGTGAGGTGTAATAAATCAATAATTACTGAATTAAAAGCATTTATATACTGTTCCAAAGGTCAAAGTATATGTTTTCTTTACCGAAATAAATAAATCAATTGATGCCTGATTTCATTTCGTCATGTCGTCATGATATCCACAACATACATAATGAAACAGAAAAAAAATGTACATGTATAACTGAGTTAAAAGAGCCGGATTTTTTTTATTTCGTCGTTTTTAACGATAGAGTTTTTTTCAACCATCTGTTTTCTAATGATTCCAAACAATCTGTGACATAAAAAAATTATTCACATAATTATATCAATTTTAAAGACATTTTACTTACAAATCAGCGTTATTGCAATTTGTATTGTCCTAATTTCTGCTTTTGAATTCAAAGCAGTAATTAGATGATAATTTGGTGAAAACCTGCGGTATTCCGGCCCGAAAAAAGTATCGGGAGTATTTCGGCTCCTTTAATCTATCATTAATGGGTATTTCAGCTTTCTTATATCAATTATCAGGTATTCCGGGGGTATTCCGGTAATTCGGTAGTGTTTCGGTATTTCGGTAAGTCGTGATACCGCCCTGAGAATAAACATTTTCAACGTATCAATGATTTTTTTGCTTTCTTGCTAAGTTATCAGTATGTAATGTTTATCCCTGTTTCAATATTTGGTATTCTTTATGTTGTGAAAGACATGTTTGAAAATATTTTAACAGAGTAATGATACATGTATTATAATACAAAACTGAATGAAAATACTCTGTAAAAGTGCATGGCTCAGATGTTCAATTGTTTATTTTGAATCTGAAATTTTGTAATATTATATATGCCTATGTTGTAACATTATTTTATACGTGGATATAGATATATTAATTTACATAACTCATGTCTGACTTTAGGATGAGGTAGCAAAACTCTACACACAATGCTCAGAACAAAGTAAAGCCAAATTAGAGGTAGGTGAACTTTTTAACCAGGTTTTCCGAAGGAAAAAACTGGTTATTAGATTGAGGTATGTCGGCGGGCGGGCGGGCGGGCGGACGGGCGGGCGGGCGTAAACAATTTCTTCTGTGCGCAACTCCTCCTACATTTCTCAACGGATTTTGACCAAACTTTCACAGAAGCTTTGTCATCAAGTGCCCTGGCGCATATTGTCAGGATTTTGCGATTAGATAATATTTGACCTAATTATGGCCCTTTGTTTTTTTTCCTTATATAAAATATATAGTGAACAATTTCTTCTGTGCGCAACTCCTTCTAAATTTCTCATCGGATTTTGACCAAACTTTCTCAGAAGCTTTGTCATCAAGTGCCATGACACATATTGCCAGGGTTTTGCAATTGGTATATATTTGACCTAATTATGGCCCTTTGTTTTTTTTCCTTATATAGAATATATAGTGAACAATTTCTTCTGTGCGCAACTCCTCCTACATTTCTCAACAGATTTTGACCAAACTTTCTCAGAAGCTTTCTCATCAAGTGCCCTGACACATATTGCCAGGGTTTTGCAATTGGTATATATTTGACCTAATTATGGCCCTTTGTTTTTTTTCCTTATATAGAATATATAGTGAACAATTTCTTCTGTGCGCAACTCCTCCTACATTTCGCAACGGATTTTGACCAAACTTTCTTAGAAGCTTTGTTATCAAGTGCCTTGCACATATTGTTGGGGTTTTGTGATTGGATAATATTTGACCTAATTATGGCCCTTTGTATATTTTTTCCTTATACAGAATATATAGAGAACAATTTCTTCTGTGTGCAACTCCTCCTACATTTCTCAACGGATTTTGACCAAACTTTCACAGAAGCTTTGTCATCAAGTGCCCTGGCGCATATTGTCGGGGTTTTGGGATTGGATAATATTTGACCTAATTATGGCCCTTTGTTTTTTTTCCTTATATAAAATATATAGTGAACAATTTCTTCTGTGCGCAACTCCTCCTACATTTCTCATCGGATTTTGACCAAACTTTCTCAGAAGCTTTGTCATCAAGTGCCCTGGCCCATATTGTCAGGGTTTTGGGATTGGATAATATTTGACTAAATTATGGCCCTTTGTATATATTTTCCTTATACAGAATATATAGAGAACAATTTCTTCTGTGCTCAACTCCTCTTACATTTCTCAACGGATTTTAACCAAACTTTCTTAGAAGCTTTGTTATCAAGTGCCTGGCACATATTGTCGGGGTTTTGTGTTTGGATAATATTTGACCGAATTATGGCCCTTTGTATATTTTTTCCTTATACAGAATATTATAGTGAACAATTTCTACAGTGCGCAACTTCTCCTACATTTCTCAATGGATTTTGACCAAACTTTCACAGAAGCTTTGTCATCAAGTGCCCTGGCGCTCACTAAATTCCCATGTTTCTTCCAAGACATCATTCAAGTTTTTTTTTTAAATTGTGAACATACTTTTCTTGATATCGCACAAAACACCACAGGCCAATATTGTTGACAAAAGAAAATGACAAGAGATGCAAAAATGCAAAAATTAAGCAAAAATAATGTACTGTTTACCTTTCTAAAACATTTGGGAAAAAAAGGCGAATAGACAACATAAAATTTCTCAATCATTTTTGTTTGAGGAATACTAAAAAAGCCATAATTCCTCCTAAAAGTTCAATTAAAAACAAATGCCCCTTCATGACAAAGCTTCTGTGAAATATTTTGCTGAAAACCTGGTTGCATCGCATTGCGATGTTTCTTGTTATGTCATTTTTGTCAATTTTTTGATGCATTATTAAATTGTTAATGTATGATATTGTGTTTAACTAAGATGAATTACAGGTTCTTAAATAAGGTAGCCAACATATATTGTATTTTAGAATTTCTTATAACACACAGCATATTAAGGCAATGTTAATATGTTATCTCAGAAAAATCCATGACATTCAAAATTCACATTGTAATATCCCAAATTTGTCTTATTTTTTCCTATCATTTACAGGTGGGGGCAATAGCTCAGTTGGTTAGACCACTGACTGTCACTCCTGAGGTCCCGGGTACGATCTTGAGTAACACCCTTGTGATTTTTTTAGAAACACTTTCAGTATTTCCCACCTACCTAGAAGTGTACTGGTAAGAAATCCGGGTAATCCTTGCATGTATCAGTGTCATATACTAGGCATGTAAAAGAACCAAGGGGTCTATTCAATAAGAGCTAGGGACTGGTTCCTGGATTCCCTTTTATCTCATAGCTGTCTATGTAGTCTAGAGTCATGTCTACATCCTTGCAAGGGGTTTGACATTAATGGAAGATAGATAAATCATTTATATATATATGTATGTATTACTGCTTATTCATATATGTAAAACATTTTTCAGAGTTGTTTAACAGACATTGGAGCATCAGCCACAAGGTTTAAAGATGTGGTAGAGTTTGGGTTTACACAATTAACCACAGCTGTGATAAAACCAAGATTAAAACCTCAGATAGATATCTTCTTATCTACATCTCATAACATCAGTGATGTAAGTAATGCTCTAATGTGTGTACTTTAAAGCTGCACACCTTTAGATTAGCCAAAATATTTCATGAAAATCAAACTTGAGGAAAAAAATGTAGTAACATTTCAAGAAAAGATAAAAGATTTTCAAGATTCAAGAAACAACGTACATGTTATGTGCAATTTATTATTTATTAACATATTTCTAAAGCAGTATGGACTAATTTTGCATTTCTTTAACCTCTATTTTGATAATTTTTTACAATATAATGTATTTTTACAAAAAAATCACAAACTTAAACTCGTAGAATTAATTATGTAGCTATAAAGAGTAAATATTTGAGAGATTGTTCATAAGTTCCATATTATGAAAGTAATTTTAACAAATGTTTTAGAAGATTTATACAAAGTTGTTTAATATTTTATACTCATGGTGATGTGATGGATATATTTTAACTAAGTTATGCTAAGCTACCACGTTAATGATGATAGTTTAATGTTTATATATATATATAATTTTAGGATGATTACACCAATTTTGAGGCCAATGATCCATGGGTCCAGAATTTCATTGTTTCATTAGATAGTATGCTAGGTAATTTTAAGGTGAGTACAGGCACTTTGTTATATTATCCCCATGTGAAATATCCCAACATGATATATAATTTATGTAATTGAGAGATGTAAATAACAACTAACAAAAGGGTAATTTAGAAATAATATCAGTCTCGGCGATGTGTATTGGCTATTTAACACCAGATTGGAGTTTTGATGTGTAGGAATTGATCATGAAGGCTGAGGCTTTCTCCATAGTGGAGTAGTAAATGTCATGAAATCATTTGGTTTATGAAGTCATATGGTTTGTAAACATTCTTTTCCATGTTTTATATATATTACTGTGTAATTATGGTCTCAATTGTTCAGTCTTTTTAATAAGGAAATAGTGTGAATGGGTTAGAAAAGGAATTACAAGTTCTGTAGCTAAAGAAGAAGTTACCTTATAAAACAGAATTTCAGGCAGTTAATGAACATTATCAAGATTCATCTACTTGTTAGAAATATCTGCCTAACATAAGGATAACTGTTATTTGTAGCCAAATTCTGTACAATTTTAACACTCCTGCAATAGTAGTAATTTATGATTTTTAATACAGGAATCTCTGACAAGCAACAATTATGAAAAGTTTGTGAGTTTGATAACAGGCGAGATAACAACATCATTAGAAAAAGCTGTTCTCAAATCTGCATTTAACAGGGTATGTATGAAACAATTTGTAGTTTTTCACTTTATCAATAAGGCTTTCAATCAGTTATCAGATATAGAGAGAAATATATTGGCTGATAGTACAGAGCGTTTTATTGTTACATACATAAACCATTTTCGCTCGAACTCAGATCGCTGGAATACCTCCCTTCGATCGAACTCATCGCCTGGTCCCGGCAAAATTCCTATGTAACATATATTGTTCTACCTAGGATCGCTCGAACACCGATCGCTAGAACTCTCAAACCTGATCTCTGGTCCCTTCGGTAGAAATATAGAGAAAATCACATCTTTGCAGTCGAACACTCAAAGACAACGAAAGCTATGGGTCGACATGTTCTAAATAAGTGTCAGCCGGTGACACATAGAATGAATCTATGGAATGATACTTGTTTGTGCATTGTTTTAGTAAATGACTACAAAAAAAAATGCTGCTGTTAAATTTTATTTTATTTTTTTAAGATATTTTATTAATACATTGTTTAAAATTAAATTTATCCCATAATAAACAATGCATATATTTTGAACAAGTAAGGTAAATGATTGTCCAATCAAACTCAGCCAATTACAATATGCATGAATATAGATTATCACAGTGTACCGTTAATACTCATTTGAAAACACTGGGACAATAATTCCGATTTCGATTCTCAATGTACAGAAACTTTTCAGGTCTGGGTTATATATGTGTCTTTTCTTGTTGTTCTCTCATGCAGTTTAAATTTATTATTGTTATTTTGGTGTATTTTCAGTTGGGAGGTTTGCAGTTTGATAAAGAATTAAGAGTTTTGGTTGGTTATTTAACTTCTGTCACAACTTGGACAATACGAGACAAATTTGCTAGGTTAACACAAATGGCAACTGTTTTAAATTTAGAAAAGGTAACTAATACATCTGGATTTATATTGATTTAGGCTTTTTTTACCGATTATAAATGTTTGTTTACACTAGCTAATAAAACAGGTATTTATGGTTCTTCTGTCTGGAGTCAGTCTACTGCCTGTACTAACATGCACTGGTATCATATCATTTCTTCCCTTGAAAACTAAAATTAAAATGAAATTTATTTTATTTATTAGCAAATAACATGCAATAAACATGCCACAAACTCAACTTTTAGAACTATAAATAATAGAATATAGACTTTTAGAAGAGTTTGTTTGGTGTATCGTATTGTAATTTAAACCATTGTAGAATAACATATAAAGGGATAAGTTATATATTTTATAGGTAGATGAACTGTTAGATTACTGGGGACCAAACTCGGGACCATTAACATGGAGGCTAACACCATCAGAAGTTAGACAGGTGCTCTCATTAAGGTATATATCATTTGTACCATACTTTAACTTAGTGATGAGTGATTTTTCTTTTATAGTTAAGTTGTTATTTAAGTACATTTACTTAACTTTGAATCTGCTGGCAGCAAGTGGTTCTGCTTGTGCAACCATTGCAGACCAAGATCCGCTGACACATCTATCCAATCTGCTCATAATCTGCGCATTTCTCTTTTCAGTCACTACTTATTATGAAATTTTCCCTGAAAATGAGGAAAGCTGGACAAGTCCATTCAAGATATTTAGAATAGTTTTGGTTAATATTGTGTTGTAGTGAGCTTGTTTGAAAGACAGAGGATCATGTTTTGAATCTTTGTTTTTAAAATGAAAATACCAATTGCAGTGCTTGATTTTCTGGAAGCAGTTTGATAGTATGCATGAATTCTTTAACATGTCCATTGTTGTCTTATTTGGGCCAGAGACAACTTTTATCAAGGACATTACTGAGTCACATAGTTTGCAGTTTTTGACTAGAAAATCATAATTTTATTTTATATTTTACAATGTATTCCATATTATCAATAATTAGCATTCTTTATTATATACTTATAAATGAATTATTGAAAAATATTAATGAAATAACATGCATATTTTCATTTTCTTTTTTTTTCACTGAAAAATGTATTTTTCATTGCAGTGAAACATATTTTCCATATTTTCACTGGTGTCTTGCTTGACTATTTTCTTCTCAATTTAGCCAATACACAAAATTAAAGGAGAAACCTTTCAAATTGTAATGTCAAAAAAAGAGGAAATTGTATACAATAAAAAGAAAATTCAAGTTTTATCTCTAAATACAGGATTTATTTTCATCTTGTGGTATAAAAATTATCATATTTCACTCCTGGCTATTGTCACTCATGAAATATTTATTTCCATACCACTTGTTGAAAATAAATCCTTTATTTATAGAAAAACCTTGAATATCATCTGTTTAGTATTTGTATTGAAATTTAAAATAAACTATTGTTTTTGTTTTACAGGATTGACTTTAGGACAGATGAAATCAAAAGGCTGAAATTGTGACAATTTGTTTATATTGTGACATTCTTGACAAAGTATTTGTTGCTGAAATCCATTCCATATTTACAAGCATGGACCATCCAGCCATTATGTTTGTGATTTTTGGGAACCAATACATTTGGAACCAGCTAGATAAGTCACATGACCTATCACCAGTCAATGGAAACCAGTTAACACCAAATTTACAAGTGACTTTTAAAGGAACTTCCACTGAGGTCCAAAAGCCTAAAAACATAAAATTTAAAATTCTTACCAAGACCAACTGGGACAATTAAACAGGCGGATGTGCAAAAGATAAATACGAAATAGACTCAGAAATAAATTAAAAGTTGTATTTTTATGCTATTTTTAGCAAGATTTGAGTGAAAAGCATTGCAATAATTTTCAATTTTGGGTAATTTTCCATAATTAGAATAATTATTCTGGAAAAATGGAATGAGCAAATGGTCTGAAAGTTTGCATGCAAGTTATTATGTAGACTTGCATCAAATGGAACAGTAATCTTGAAAAATAAATTTCCAGTCCCGTCATGTCAAAAAACCTCAGTGGAGTCTCTATAATAACTTAGGTGTTTATGTCTTTCCCTAGAAAATGTTTGTTTAACGTGATAATTGAAATATGATATCAATGTTCATGTGTACATGATGATTATGTTATATCTTATGCTTGTTGTTTTGGTTATTTTTGAAATAATAAGTTATTACAAATTATGTATTATTTTTAAAAATACTTGAAATTTGTTCAGTTGCAGTTAAAATAGATTTAATATTAATCAGATTTGGGTTTCTGAAACCAGTCTTTTAATTAAACATTAATCTTTGATTGATAGAGTAAGAGTCCAGTCATGTATTTTGATGATAATCATGAATTTCGTTACAACCACTCCTATTAAGATTAAATTTTTCCATAATAGTTCTGCAGACTTACAGTTCATGAATGGATTTAGTTTAACTAAGTCTCCAATTATCATTTGTTGCTTTTTTTCATTGCTCTACAGTGTAAACCCTGTTTCTCTGTATCAATATGTGGATGCCCACTTTGCTCTTCCTTCTTGCGTGTGTTTAATAATAAAATTTAAATGCACATGTATAATAATAGAAAGGTAAATTCATTTAGTAAAAGTATATTTAATCTATTTAAAGTAAGAAAATTTATAACATTACTTCAGAGTTCACTTGGTGGACCAATGTCTGTCATTGTCAGTTATAACCCCCCCCCCCCCCCCCCTGCGAACTACCAAGTACATTTCAACATTGATGTAAAGGAATGATTCTTAGGTGATTCTCAACAATTATTGTATGAATATGTATATCAGTTTACAGGAGCTAAAATATTATTTGAAAAAAAAGAAGAAATCTTTAAGAAAAATTTTATTGTCGGAAACTATGAGTCCCAGAGTTTTATTATTTGATATATCACATTGCATAATGGTACAAAAGTATGATAAATCATTATACCTGGGATCATACGTACCTATGCTTTTGGGAACTGTTTGTATACTTTTTCATTCACTCAGGTGATTGATATAGGCCAATTAGAGTCTCTTGTTATATAAACTTATTATTATATTTTCATAATTGAATACCAGGGCTAGTAAATGATTTTTTGAGTTGTCGACATTTCTTTGATGTCATTCTTGATTTTTTTCTTAAAATTAGTTCAGCTATTTTGTCCAACAAAGTCAGATTATTTTACAGTAACACCTCTGCAGTAAACACCCTTTGGGAGACAAATACTTCGGTTTTTCCTGGAGGTGTTGCTCTATATATAAACTACGGTATAGTGGAAATATTTATTTTGTGGAGAAATAATGTTGTTGTTGTAAAGAGATTGTTGCTCTACATAGGGTCGCTTTGGTGAACCTATATTGTAGGCTATTCATTGACAGATATATCTTAAAGTAATGAGAATGAATTGTTATTAGCTCGACTATTCGCAGAATAATCGAGCTAATGCAGTCACCCATTTGTCGGCGTCGGCGTCCCTGTGGTTAAGTTTTTGTATGTAAGCTGGTATCTCCATAACTACTGAAGGGAATGGATTGAAACTTCACACACTTGTTCTCTGTGATTATCTAAGATGATTGGCACAAGTCCCATAACTCTGATTTGCTTTTTTACATAATTATGCCCCTTTTTTGACTTAGAAATTCTTGGTTAAGTTTTTGCGTGTAAGCTGGTATCTCCATAACTACTGAAGGGAATGGATTGAAACTTCACACACTTGTTCTCTGTGATTATCTAAGATGATTGGCACAAGTCCCATAACTCTGATTTGCTTTTTTACATAATTATGCCCCTTTTTCGACTTAGAAATTCTTGGTTAAGTTTTTGTATGTAAGCTGGTATCTCCATAACTACTGAAGGGAATGGATTGAAACTTCACACACTTGTTCTCTGTGATTATCTAAGATGATTGGCACAAGTCCCATAACTCTGATTTGCTCTTTTACATAATTATGCCCCTTTTTCGACTTAGAAATTCTTGGTTAAGTTTTTGCGTGTAAGCTGGTATCTCCATAAGTACTGAAGGGAATGGATTGAAACTTCACACACTTGTTCTCTGTGATTATCTAAGATGATTGGCACAAGTCCCATAACTCTGATTTGCTTTTTTACATAATTATGCCCCTTTTTCGACTTAGAAATTCTTGGTTAAGTTTTTGTATGTAAGCTGGTATCTCCATAACTACTGAAGGGAATGGATTGAAACTTCACACACTTGTTCTCTGTGATTTTCTAAGATGATTGGCACAAGTCCCATAACTCTGATTTGCTCTTTTACATAATTATGCCCCTTTTTCGACTTTGAAATTCTTGGTTAAGTTTTTGCGTGTAAGCTGGTATCTCCATAAGTACTGAAGGGAATGGATTGAAACTTCACACACTTGTTCTCTGTGATTATCTAAGATGATTGGCACAAGTCCCATAACTCTGATTTGCTTTTTTACATAATTATGCCCCTTTTTCGACTTAGAAATTCTTGGTTAAGTTTTTGTATGTAAGCTGGTATCTCCATAACTACTGAAGGGAATGGATTGAAACTTCACACACTTGTTCTATGTGATTATCTAAGATGATTGGCACAAGTCCCATAACTCTGGTTTGCTTTTTTACATAATTATGCCCCTTTTTCGACTTAGAAATTCTTGGTTAAGTTTTTGCGTGTAAGCTGGTATCTCCATAACTACTGAAGGGAATGTATTGAAACTGCACACACTTGTTCTCTGTGATTATCTAAGATGATTGGCACAAGTCCCATAACTCTGATTGCTTTTTTGCATAATTATGCCCCTTTTTCGACTTAGAAATTCTTGGTTAAATTTTTGCTTGTAAGCTGGTATCTCCATAACTACTGAAGGGTTTGTACCTTTTCGGACAATTTTATGTATTCATATAGGTAAGCATTATTATACTCAATGAAACACCCTTGTGATGAATTTTCGAATAGTCGAGCGTTACTGTCCTCCGACAGTTCTTGTTTTATTAAGTGCTTTTTTACATATGTTACTTATACTTTCTTTTTAGTTCATATGCTTATTTTTAAATAGAAAATAGAATATAAAAACTGGGATTATACTTTAAGTGTATTTTACATATGTAATTGTTAGATTAGTTTAAACTGCTGTAATGAAATTACGCACACATGTATAAAAACTTTAGTTGTGATATATTCTGTAATGGAATTAGTTTCTACATTAGTAAGGGACAAAAATGTTGGTGCAATTTTTTAGTTGTACAAGTCATTGTTTTATGATTGATCATTTATAAATGATGTTTTGATTAACAGATAAACTCAAGTAGCTTTTCAAACTTATATTTTCCCCAGTGAATAAAGAAGGCATATAGTTGGACTGCATAAGTTCTAAAAGTGGCTTATTCACTATTAAGACCAGTTCACTATTACGACCACTTTGAGTCAGTCCTGTTAGTGGTCTAAATAGAGGGAATTTACTGTACTGTTGACATACTTTATCACATACCCATGCTGCTTTTGCAACTCCGTAAAAATGGTATGGTCATACATATATTTTGATATGACGTCATTTGTGATATACAAACATATATATAGACCAGGTAAATGTTATACTATTTGCGCTTCAATGAAAATTTATTCTTTTTCAGTATAAACAGTCTTTATTTGGGTATGTGATAAATTTATTATTATATATTTATGTAGGTTCTCTACTAAATTTATTGAACTTGTTGAATAAAGTAATGTTATGCTCACCGGAGATGTGCATAATATAATTTTATTCAACTTGTTCAATAAATTCAGTATTGAATCTACACTCATTTAATATCCTCTATTCATGTTAATTTGGAATGAATTAACACAATATTGCTGTAGCTAGGCAGCATTCTGGTATGTTCATCCTAATATTATTGAAGTTTTTATACAAAGTACAGTCATTGTGTACTCATATAATTATCATTTTTGCAGTATAGTTAAAGCCCTCAATGCATGTAAATGGATTAAACTCAAACTTCAAAAATGTTTTTCTTGCAGGATTTAAAATTGTTTAAAGTAAAGTCTTTGTAAGATAAAACCTAAGATAACTAATATCATTCTGTAAGGATAATGATGAGATAATCTCATCTCAAATTTTTTTTTCTTTCTTGAAATATTTTGGCTTATCTGGATGTATCTTTAATGCAGGCAATATGATTATGTACACCATGAGATATGTTTGAATGTTGTTTTAGTGATGTAATTTTTGTGAGATAAACAACTAAGATTGTTAAAAAATACATATGCCTATCCAGTGTTGAAAATCTGAGAACAGTTTGTCTATAAATAAACAATAGTATTTAGCAGTTGATACTTATATTAATTGATTACGTTTAAAGTGTGAAAATTTCTGTAATTAATTTTTAGATATCGGGTTACAGCTTGGAAGGATTGGGTTTCAAAAAGTTATAACATGTAGACATATGTTCTTTTAAGAAATGTTTGTTATGTTTTGTAAATTCTGTATATCATTATTATTGATGACTCTGGAATATTGTTTTGTAATATATTTAATGTGTAAATATGATTTACCTTATTTTTGTGAAACAGAGCATGTATATAATTTATGCAATGGGAAAAATATGAAAAAAGGGGGTTATTTATTATAGTTTAAAAAAGAGCAGAATAAAAAATAAATAAAATGCCATATTTGGCTCAAAATGAAAATTGTGTTGTTTATAGTTCATAAATTCCATGGTGATAACAGTTATGCCTACCAGATTTGTGACAAATAAAAATGATTGTTGAACACTATGGCATTGTGACAGAGATTACTAACTCTGAATTACTTGTAACTCAGTCTTTATTTAGCACACTAGCCGTTGTTATTCATGTAAATTTCTTTGATGTGATTGCCCTAGGGTTGGGATTTCCCTATCCTCTATCTAACCCAATGATTGATTATTTTTCTCACTAACCTGGGCTAAAAATATTAGGGGGAAAAAAACAATTTAAAGTGGTAACTACTTTTTTATGCACAATCACATTATTGGCCGTTTTACAGCCTCGTTCTCAATACAAAAATTCAACACAAAGAGTTCATGCAACTGTGCGTGAAAATGATTAAATACACCATTCAGATGGATTTAATTTGCGATAAATGAATCTCAAAACAATAAAATGATTGCTGAAACATGAAAATCTACAATGAAAAGTATGAGTCATGGATTTGTTCTATAAAAGATGTGATGATAGATGTCTGGTGAAACAGATGTACGGTATTCACTCTAGAATTGCGGAAACTATTGACTTTGATTTCTTTATACCAACATTATCTCTACATATATATATAAACATATATAAACTTAAAATATATTACATATAATTAGACCAGGGACATACATGTAGATATA